AATTTGCGTTTTGGATTGACACAAATCACACCGCAAAGTACCAGTTTCCAGCATTGGGAGTACTCCTCGAAATACTGCTTATTGGCACCGATATTTGTATTGGTACATCTCTAATATGCCCCCCCCCCACCTGCAGACTCCCACAGCCACTGGGCCAGGGTTGTGGGGAAGAGTCTGTTGTCCTCATCAACTTGGGTGCCCTCCCTTTCTGGCGAAATACCCTCTCCATGTTGAGGGCATGTGGCCTGTTATGGTGGTCATTTCCTGCTGGTCTGCTAGGTTGCATGCATGGATAATTTTATTAATTTAAAAATTCATTTTATAATTTAGCTTTGCTCTAAGTTTTTCATTTGGGTGTATTCATTTTTGAAACATGGTCTTAAGTGAATTTGTTAGGAAAAATATTTTTTTGTGTGTTCAAATTAACAAATCTTGTTTGTAATCAATGGCCTGCATTTGTAGGAGTATTTTTTATGTATGGTGACCCATAGAAAATGTTGATTCTGAAAGTAAAGTAAAGGTTTTCTGACAAATCTGTTGGTGTGTACTCATTTATGCTGAGTGCTGTGTGTATGTATGTGTGTGTTTATATATGCATATGTATTTGTGTGTGTGTGTGTGTATGTATGTATGTGTGTGTATATGTATATATATATATATATATATATATATATATATGTGTGTATGTGTATATATATATATGTATATGATATATGTATGTGTGTGTACAGTTGTGTTCAAAATAATAGCAGTCAGACATCACTAACCTGATCAATCACTGGCAAATAATTTACTAGCAGGTGTAGTAGAGTAATAGAAATCCAACAGACCCAACAATCATGACATGCATGCTGCTAATTCTGTGTAATTGAATCACTAATTCAAAGGGGCATGTTCAAAATAATAGCAATGTGGAGTTCTATTAGTGAGGTCATTCATTCTTTGAAAGACAGGTGGCAATTATTGCCCTTATTTAAGGAAGGAAGGCAGCAAATGTACGTGCTGGTTACAGTGCATTTCTCTCTGAAATTGTGAGGAAAATGGGTCGTTCCAGACATTGTTCAGAAGACCAGTGTACCTTGATTAAAAAGTTGATTGGAGAGGGGAAAATATATAAAGAAGTGCAGAAAATGATAGGCTGCTCAGCTAAAATGATCGCAAATGCTTTAAAATGGCAACCAAAACCTGAAAGACATGGAAGAAAGCGCAAAACTACCATTCGAATGGATAGAAGAATAGCCAAAATGGCAAGGACTCAGCCAACAATCAGCTCCAGGAAGATCAAAGAAGGTCTAAAGTTACCTGTGAGTACTGTTACAATTAGAAGACGTCTATGTGAAGCCAAGCTATCTGCAAGAAGCCCCCGCAAAGTCCCACTGTTGAAAAAAAGACGTACTGAAGAGGTTACAATTTGCCAAAGAGCACATTGACTGGCCTAAAGAGAAATGGCGCAACATTTTGTGGACTGATGAAAGTAAGATTGTTCTTTTTGGGTCTAGTGGCTGGAGACAGTTTGTCAGACGACCCCCAAACACTGAATTCAAGCCACAGTACACTGTGAAGACAGTGAAGCATGGTTGCGCAATCATCATGATATGGGGATGTTTCTCATACTACGGTGTTGGCCCTATTTATCGCATACCAGGGATCATGGATCAGTTTGAATACATCAGAATACTTGAAGAGGTCATGCTGCTTTATGCCGAAGAGGAAATGCCCTTGAAATGGGTGTTCCAACAAGACAACGACCCCAAACACACCAGTAAATGTGCTACATCTTGGTTCCAGACCAACAAGATTGACGTTTGGAGTGGCCAGCCCAATCCCCGGATCTTAATCCAATAGAAAACTTGTGGGGTGACATCAAAAATGCAGTTTCTGAGGCAAAACCAAGAAATAGAGAAGAACTGTGGAATGTAGTCCAATCATCCTGGGCTGGAATACCTGTTCACAGGTGCCAGAAGTTGGTTGACTCCATGCAATACAGACGTACAGCAGTTCTCAGAAACAGTGCTTATACAACTAAATATTAATTAACTGATTCAAAGGAAAGCAAAATCTTCAAACATTTTTCAGTTTATATAGTGAATGTTTGAGTTTGTGAAGAATACTAACGCTGCTATTTTTTTGAACAGTCTAATACTCACTTTTCTTCAATTATTTTAGAGGAACAACACAAATTTGATATATTTTTCTTCATGTTTTGATTTGAAATAGAATGTGTAGTGTTCCCAATGCATTTGTGTGTATGGAAATAAAAGCTATTAGAAGGATTTTGAGCTTTATTCACTCTTTTCAACACACTGCTATTATTTTGAACACAACTGTATGTATGTGTGTGTGTGTATGTATATGTATATATGTATGTATATGTTAAAAAAATGTTTTCTCTAAGCAGGCAGTGCAACAATGTGTGTGTTCAGAGATGGTTTTTAATCATCATTAAAAATGGAGCTTCACTTGAAAATATTGTCAGTTTCTATTTCAGCACTATGGTTAGCCATAGTGAAAGAATTAGGCTTATGAGGATTTTAAGTTTCTCTGTGGAGACAATATGCAAATAAAGCAAGACAGACCTTAGAACTGTTACATGAAAGTCTATTCAATGTCTGTTCAAGAATATAGGTCAACCAAGCGTATGGTAGAACGTTAATATGGTTTGGGCTGATAACATGTTTTAAAGTTCTTTTCGTAGCTGTGATTTTACAGAATGTGGGTAGCCATTTAATACATTTTCTAATTTTCCTATGGACCTCTGATTAAATAGTTTATTGAAGTCACAGAATTTTCTGTTGGTTAAGCGGTTTCATTACTGGTTTCACTCACTGTGGTATCCCACAAGGTGTAACATCTGCTGGTTTTGCTTAGTTTTCTGAGGTTTCTATTTAAAAGCCTAGGGTGTGCCTTAGTAAAGTTAAAAAGAATTTTTAATTTGAATGTCAATTCCTTACACCTGGGTGTGTTCCTAGTACAGCTTAGTAATTACTGTCAAAGTTATTAGCATCTATGCCTTTTGCTCTGAGCTTAGGGTAATAGACTGCCTGTTTTTTAAAATGTAATACAATTTTGCCCTGGTTCACACTGAATCCAACTTTGAAATCGTGTGACTTCACTTGAAACAATGTAAAGTCGCGCGATTTCAAAGCCGCATGTCAGTGCTATTTCAGGTGTGCAACTTCATAAACAGATGTCTATGCAAGTCACACCTGAAATCGCTTACTGCAATGTTAGTCACACTGATTTCAGTGGTTGCATTGCTGACAGTAGGGTGCGATTTGGAACTATCAGATCACATGACAAGTTGCACTGGTGTGAACCAAGGCTAACTGTAAAGGTCCAACCTGGGAAATTTCCCCCAATGCTGATCGATTAGGTCTCCTTTTCCTGCTATTCATTCTTCTGTTTGATGCCAGGAGATTCCTCCTGAAGTCAGAAGTCCTATTCTGTCAGCATCAGTGTATAGACCTTAAAAGAGACCAGTTAATAGCAATCTTCTTTCATCTTTTCTAATAATGCTAGTGCTACTGTGGTCTCTGGCTGCATTACTTTGGGGCACTAAGCTGAATGAAGAATGCAGAATTGGAAAGTCAGAGTGAAATCAATATTTTTAACCTGCTATTTTGTGCCAAAACAGTAAGTTAGAAAGTGCAGAAACCATGGTATCTGCCTGAAAGCTAAGGAATAATAAAATATTAATTTTAATCTTATTTTCATTGGCAGTCAATGAACTTATAATTCAATGAATTGCAAATAAGCACTGGGATAAGTAGAATTTATATTTTTGTTTTTATTGCTGCTGTTAGTGTTTAGAATATTTAAATCCACCATACTCTTGTTCCATTGAGAAATACAAGTCCGCGGTGACAGATGGGACTTGTAGTTTACTCATTCACAGTTCTCTGTGAATGAATGACTGGGCTGTGCAGGTGGAGACATGCAAATGTAAAATCTGATAGCCTCCGCGGGGGGTTGAAGAACCTTGCAGACCATTGGGGTGGGGGTGAGTTTTGGGGATAGGGAGTCCATTTGGAACTATGTTACATATTACACCCTAAACATTTTTGTACAAATGCCTGTGCGATGACATCACCCATAGGCCTACTATGGGACATCCGTTGTTGGCTGCCCCTCCTCTACACTGAATCCAGGGCTGGGAACTGATCATTTGACTGGACCAGAGCAGCTTCAGAATAGGTAAATATAAGCCTCTATTCTTTCACAGTGTGGAAAAAATAGTCTTAGAATGGGAGTGGAAGTAGGTTTTACCTTAGTTGGATTTTGACTGAACTTCTACTTTAAAGCCTAACTCCATGTTTTAGTGAACTTTAAATAGACATTTGGACAAAGCTTGTCCAAGTGAACAATTTCCTTCAGTAGAACATGCAGTGGCTGTAGGTACTGTAGGAACTGTAGTATGTAGCCTCTGCTACAAACAGTATATGACTTTGTTTTCCCATGGTGGACAAGGACTTCCTGTCCTGGTCCTGGAACCAAATTCCCTCAGGCTGAGTGTTGTCCAGCCATTCACAGGTAGCTTTGTATTTTCTGAACAAATACAAAGCTTTCTCTGATTGGCTGAGGTGGAGATTGTGACATCATTTGCCAGGCTCTCTACCTCAGCCAACTTTGCATTTATTCATAGAATGCAAATCTTCCTGTGAATTGCTGAGCCAAACTCAGTTTAGTTTGTGGAGCGAGATGAGAAGTTTCCATTCCCGTTACCAGAACAAGGGAATTCCACAAGGTAGCATGCACCTTGTTGGACTTAACCCCGAGTAATCAAGAACATTTTAGAAAGTGGCTGAATTCCTAGAGTTCAGCTTTAAAATGTACTGCAAAGTCTTTACAGTATCTCACATTCCATGTATGCAAAATAAACTGAATAATTACTGAATTTCTGTCTTCTGAAACCAGCTAATAATTCTACAGAATTTGTAGTATTCCTCTATATAGAAATGTTTTACTCTCCCAATGCCTCAAAGTTCAAATCTCTCTTCCAGGTTGGCTGAAAACCTTTGATGACTATTTCAGAGACCAGACGCAGCACATTCTTAATAACATGCTTGTGAAACTACAAGAAGATAAGGGGAAAAAGTTCATATGGTCTGAGATTTCATATTTTTCAAAATGGTGGGATGGTATTGATAACCAGAAGAGAGAAGCAGTAAAGAAGTAAGTGTTTGTTTTTTTTTTTTTTTTTTTTTTTTTTTTATACATAATTGTATAACTTTAAGCTTGTAAAAAAGGAAATGATTACTGAGTACTACATAAATGGGTAAAACTCTCTGGCTATGTTTGTTTTATAGGTAAGACTAAATTGCGCGGTATGGTTTTAACCATCTCGGCTTTCACACCTATACAGAGAATAAAGGCGTGACATAGAGGACAGGCCGCAGTATGGGGGGTTAGAAATTAGAACCCCCTGTTAGCCAGCAGTAGAGGGCAGAATATTGCAAATAGCTCAAGCTCTGTCAGATTGGATAGAGCATCTGTGAATAGCAATTTTCAAGTGCTGCCACAGATTCTCAATTGGATTCAGGTCTGGACGTTAACTGGGCCATTCTAACAAATGAATATGCTTTGATCTAAAACCGTTACATTGTAGCTCTGGCTGTATGTTTAGAATCATTGTCTTGCTGGAAGGTGAACCTCCGCCCCAGTCTCAAGTCTCTTGCAGACTCTAACAGGTTTTCTTCTAAGATTGCCCTGTATTTGGCTCCGTCCATTCTCCCATCAACTCTGACCAACTTCCCTGTCCCTGCTGAAGAAAAGCATCCCCACAACATGATGTTGCCACCACCATGTTTCACAGTGGGGATGGGTGTGCTCAGGGTGATATGCAGTTAGTTTACCACCATACATAAAGTACATACTGTTTTTAGGCCAATAAGTTCAATTTTGGCCTCATCTGACCAGAGCACCTTCTTCCACATGTTTGCTGTGTCCCCCATATGGCTTCTCTCAAACTGCAAATGGGACTTTGTTATGGCTTTCTTTCAACGATGGCTTTCTTCTTGCCACTCTTCCATACAGGCCAGATTTTTGGAGTATATGACTAATAGTTGTTCTGTGGACAGATTCTCCCACCTGTGGATCTCTGCAGCTCCTCCAGAATTTTCATGGGCCTCTTGGCTGCTTCTCTGATTTAATGCTCTCCTTGTCCAGCCTGTGTCCATTTAGGTGAACGGTCATGTCTTGGATAGTTATGCAGTTGTGCCATACTCTTTCCATTTTTGGTTGATGGATTGAACAGTGGTCCATGAGATGTTCAAAGCTTGGGATATTTTTTTTTATAACCTAACCCTGCTTTAAACTTCTTCACAACTTTGTTCCTGACCTGTCTGGTGTGTTCCTTGGTCTTCATGATGCTGTTTGTTCACTAACGTTCTCTAACAAACCTCCTGAGGGCTTCACAGAACAGCTGTGTTTATACTGAGATTAAATTACATACAGGTGGACTCTATTTATTAACAGGGAGACTTCTGAAGGCAGCTGGTTCCACTAGATTTTAATTAGGGGTATCAGAGTAAAGGGGGCTGAATACAAATGCACGCCACACTTTTCAGATATTTATTTGTAAAAAATTGTGAAAACCATTGGTCATTTTCCTTCCACTTCACAATTATGTGCCACTTTGTGTTGGTCTATCACATAAAATCCCAATGAAATACATTTACATTTTTTGGTTGTAACATGACAAAATGTGGAAAATTTCAAGGGGTATGAATACTTTTTCAAGGCACTGTACAACATTCAAGTGAAAGTTCTAACACCAACATGTCAGGAAAAAAAAATCAAAAACAAAATCATGGAGTTGGAAAAAGGATCACCCCCTTGTGTCAGTCTTTTGTTGAACTAACTTTTGCTTTAATTACAGCCTTCAGCCTGTTGGAATATGTCTCTACTAACATCTAGACTTTGCACATCTAGATTTTGCAGTGTTTGCCCACTCTTTTTTACAGAACCGCTCATGTTCAGTTAAATTTGATGGTGACGATTTTTGGGACTGCAAGTCTTCAAGTCATTCCACAGATTTTCAATAGGGTTTATGTCTGGGCTCTGAATAGGCAATGCAAAGACATTCATCGTTTTCTCCTTCAACCACTGTGTGGTAATTTTTGCTGTGTGATTTGTGTCATTGTCATATTGGAAGGTTAACCTTCTTCCCATTGAAAACTTTCTGGCAGAGGGCAGCAGATTTTCCTCAAGAATGTGTTGGTATTTTGTACCATCCATTTTCCCTTTTATCCTGACAAGTGCTCCAGTCCGTACTGCAGAGAAACACCCCCATAACAGGATATTACCACCTCTATGCTTTACTGTAGGAATGGTGTTATTTGGATGGTGAGCTGTATTGGATTTCCACCAAACATATCGCTTAGTGTTGAGGCAAAATAATTAAATTTTAGTCTCATCTGACCATAACACTTTTTTCCATGTGGCTTCAGAATCTTCAAGGTGCGTTTTGGCAAACCCCAGTCATGACTGCATGTAGCCTTTCTTGAGGAGTGGCTTTTTTCTTGTCCATCCTCCCATACAAGCCACATTTGTGGAGAATTTGTGATATTGTTGTCACATGCACACGATGACCACTTTGTCATAAATTTCTGCAATTGCTTCAGAGTTGCTGTATGCCTCTTGGTAGCCTCTCTGACCAGTTACTTCTTGGCTCTTTCATCCAGTTTGGATCGACATCCTGATCCAGGGAGTGTCTGGGTTGTACCACACACATTCCACTTCTTAAAAATAGACTTTACTGTGCTTCTAGGCATTGATAAAGACTTTTTTAGAATCCATCTCCTGACTTGTGCCTGTCCACAACTTTATCCCAAAGATCTTTTGACAGTGCCTTGTCATCTATAGTTGTTAACTTCAGTTGCACTATCGGGGACTGAAATGCTCCAGGAAAGCTCTTTTCATGTCGAGCTGTTGAATGTCAGATGGCTTTGTGTGCCAAAGAGAAGCTGCTTAGGTACACTTGGTTTGAGTTTACCTTTTTCCGACTCAGTGGTTCTGTTTTTGAATTTGTATTTTTTCTGTTGGTGTTATATCTTTCAGTTGGATGTTACATGGCGTAAATACAGCTGGATATAACAAAAACTGTCTCTCTCTTCATTGCAGGCTGAAAAGCAACAAAATGTAATTCTTTAAAAGGGGGTGGGGGAGAGATTCTTTTCTATACCCACTGTATATGTCATGCGACTAAGCAAAGATCACAAATAGTGCCCTATAGCCATTTTTATACTGCCATTTTAGATCACTCAACTGTTCATAATTATACAGTTCTGAAAATGTTTAATTATTCTCCTTACACCAAAAGTATCACATACACATTCCAAAATATAGACCACACCTGTAAAGAAATTTGGCAAGAGTTTATCAGTAAAATCCTTTCCAATTTGTAAAAACTGACATTTATAACCTATTAGTGACTTTTAAAGGATTGATTACATGCCCTGTAATTGCTATACATTTCTGCATTATGTCAAATCCGCCATAGCTGTCATATTATGTACCCTTTCATGGAAATTAGATTTTTGTACTTTCCTGTAAAATGTTTTTCTTGGAACCCATTGAGGGACACGAACTGAATTGGTAGCCATGGGGTATAGCGCCAACCCCAAGTGAGCAAAGTATTAAGCCTACCCCTATAGCCAATAAAACTCCTTCCACATACCATATGCTTCAGTGTAGAGTAAGCAGTATGTGAATATTAGTCATAACATAAGGGAGGAAGCGGTGTCCCTCAGTGGTCTCAAAATAAAGGGATTTTACAGGTAACTGCAAAAATCCAGTTTTCTGTATGGATGGGATGTCCAGAAGCAGCCCATACAAGAGAGGCAGATAAGCCTACCTATAGACCTGGAATCTAGACCTAAGAGATAAACCTGATGCTAAAAGGCAAAAGAGGTGCTCACTGCCCTAGTGAAGTGAGCCTTACATGAAAAGGGAAGAATAATTTTACTAATATTAATAACTGTTCTTGAAATATTACGTTTTGGTATTGAGAATCTCCCCTATACAATTGAGTGCCTTATTTATTTATACGCAGCATTTAATAGTGTAGTAATACAGCTTTTACTAGTAATGTGTTCCATTGAATTCACCTTTTTGTTCTTACTGACAGTGTTTCAAAAAGAGGTATAAGAGGCATATTTTTGTTCAAAGTCAATTTGGCATTAAAAATAACATAAAAATTCAGATCAGCCCTATCTCCGCTTTGGAGAAAAAAAGCTTTCTCCTTTTCTATTAGAAATGCTTATGGAGCATACCAAATAGGGTCAGCTTCAGGGCAGATACAGCATTGGTGAGGCTAAATCTAAAGTCAGTCTGTGGGAAGTTAAGACAACTAGGAGAACAGAAAGTCCATTGACATGAATAATCTGCGATATAGGTTACCAGTTAGGAGGGTTGCAGCATAACATTAAAAATCTAGCAGCACCCTATTACCACAAAGAACACTGCTCTGATAACTATATAATAATTATCAGGCTGAATCAATCAAATCTAAGACTCTTCCATCTCTGCTATACACTTAGAGTACAGTATATGTAAACCTTCACCTTGTAAAACAATCCAATCCGTTTAAAATAGAAATGAAAGGAAAAAATGTGTGTATACGAATAAAAAACATAAATACTTTTTCCCACTTTTATACAAGTGATCATATACCCTCTGTTCTCAGCTGCATAAAGAGCTTAAAGAACTGGAGGAGGAGAAACCACAGATGCTGATCTTCCCCAGTGTCTGTGTGGGCGGGGTTTAGTGGGGTGTGGTGACATGCCAGCATTCTAAACCATTGGAGGAGAGCCGGCTGAGTTCCCATGACAGCTAGAACACTGACCATGTTGTGCTCTCCTGCTTAGTGTGGTCAGTTTTTAATAGGAAAGCAGAGGGACTGGCAGGAACACAAGGGATTTTACACAAAGGAAGCAATACAAAGAGAACAGGATACTTTTTCATACAAGTACATGGTACAGCAGGCACATATCAGGAAAATGAAATGTTGGGTTTACATATTCTTTAACATGTGTTGTGTTAAGACAACCCATTCATTAGTAGTGACCCTGCAATGTAGTTTCACAGCAAACCTTGCAACACATCTATGCACAGTAGTATGGTATTGTGCGTTGACAACCAATGTAAGCAATATACTGCACTGGTGTGAATGGGCCCTTAGTGCTTTTAGCCTTCTGTAGTAGAGAGAAATGCATATAGGCATATTTTTAAAAGAAAGCCATTGTTTATCTCTATGACCTGTATTGCTGAGTGTGCTTTACAGTGGCCAGGACCTTTTGGATTTTGTGCTGCATCCTAGATGTCTCTTCAGCGCTTTGTTGACAGTACATTAAATAACTCTCATTCTGCTGTGTACTTATCACTTTATCTATCCAAGGAGCCTCTGCTCTGATATCATGCAGTTCACGATAAGATCTCCGCACTAGGATACCCTGCATTGTCCTATTTTTTGTTCGGCTAATGCAGTGAAAACTATATGCTGGATAAAAGTACTTTGTTGCATAGCGAAAACAACAGACACATTGCTGGATTTATTTGGGAACTAATTTGTGCACCTTCCCCTAGATTTAATAGAGAATGGTTAGCACTGCCAAACAAGTTAATGGTTTGCAAAACTGTATGACCCAGTAAAACAAATATTTATTTTTACTTAATTATTTTCCAAAACTATGGTAAGCACTGTGAAAAACGGAACGATAACATTGCCAGTGGGATTTAATTAAGGTATACTGTAGAGATGATTTACATTTCTCTTTTTAACAAGGCTAAAACAACTTTTCAGCTAAACTTTTCTGATTACAAAAAAAAGCATTGCAGAGCTAATAAAATCTGTCTAGAATTTTACTTTGGGTATGTTGGAATTCATTGTAGAATCATACAACTTTTCCATGAAGAACTCTCTTCGGTAAAGGTAGGAGCGACTTCATCTCTCTCTTGAAGCCAAGTGAGCTTCCCTCACTCCCGTCCCCTCACCTCTCAGGAATTGCCTTGTATTTTAGTCTGTGAGTCAGTACTAGCCTTTCTTTGATTGGCCAATGTGGAGTTTGTAATATCATCAGCCCCTCCTTTTCACATCAGCCAATCAGAGCCTGCCTAGTATTTGATATAAATTTAAGGCGGTTCCTGAATGGTTGAGAGATGAGCGCTTCCAACTCTCTTGTTTCTCGTATTATCCCGTCTGGAATAACAAATTGCTTGATAACTTTTCACACTTACTACAGATAGGCACCATGGTCAGAAACAGTACCAGCAATGCTACCACACCCTTCTTTCCACATATTTTTCATTTTGTCATGTAAACATTCTTCAAAAATTATCCAGGTGTAGAACGTATTGAACAGGGCCTGGAAGCTACAGCTTGCGTTTTTAGCAGATCTTGTACCACGCCACAAGAAACCATCTGATTTTGTAAAGACAGTATGAGTATGGCATCACCTTGCACCAAGACCTCTCGTGCTACATATGGATTACAGTTTATATATTTGTATGATCTGTGAAATCAAATTTCTTTCTCTGTGTTATAATATAGCTTGGCAACTTGAAATGGTTACATTTCACTGCATTTAGCTGTGTAACACAGTGGTTTTGTCTTTTATAAATGATCACCTTTCTTACAGTCATCTTACTGTGCTCAAAAAAGGAGCACCTTGTTCTTTTTGGCACTGGAAACCCTTGAATATAAACAGGCTATAGCAAACTGACTGGTCAGTGTTTCCTAGTGTATATTCTCCAACCTCTCTTCTGTGTTTTTTTTTTTTTTTTTTTTTTTTTTTAAAGAAGTGAAATCCTTATTCAAGGAGCACTGCAAAACCAGTACTGAGATGCAGGAGCCAATGTTCTATAGTAATCATTCTCCTCAGTATGTCTAACTCCTAATATTTTAGGATTACCCTGTGGGATAATTAGAGGGCAGGTAAATTTGCTTGGTTCACTGTTATCTAATTTCAGAGTTTGAGAATGGTAAGATTAATGAGGATGTATATCCTGTGAGTGCAGGGATGAAGTGGGCAACTTGGGATTTTAGTAATCATGTTTCAGATAATTCACAATGGAAGTGAAGAGTAGACTTCTTAAGTAATTATACTGTCCTTTAATACATTATATGCAGTGTTAATATTTGCCTGTAATGTGATTAACAGGTTAATCGAGCAGAAGCAGTTTGAGATTGTTACGGGTGGATGGGTAATGGCAGATGAAGCTTCTGCCCACTATTTTTCATTGATTGATCAGTTAATTGAAGGACACCAATGGCTGGAGAATAATCTTGGTAAGGTAATTTTTTAATGTTTTCTTTTTGCTAACACAGTTTGATTTGTATAGTAAATCACTGGACCAAGCTGCTTCCCTGCTTAAAGGCACTCTTAAGATGCCCATCAATACTCTATTTTGATGACACCATTTTTAGATCTGGTTTGTAGATTATCAGTTCTATCTTTTATCACTAATACTATTTGTTTGGCTACAGGTGGACATACACAGGGAATTGTGATCATTTGGAATCTATCAGAGAGACTCTTGCACATGCTTCCTTCCATTTAATAATGGAAGTTAACCTTTCTGAACATGTTACATCCATATTACACTGACAGTCTGCATGAGTCCTGCATGTCATCAGTGATCTGCTGATAATGGTGCCATGCTTTCCAGGCTCCTAAAAAAACAAAAAAGAGTAAATGCACATTTTTTTTTACCTGCAACAAAATGTGAATATATTATTTAACTTATCCTTTACCAGTCATGGTGAATGTCAAAGTAACTGCCAAGTATTGACTGTAAGATTTTTCAGTAGATCAGCATCACATATTCAAGCTCATCCAAGCTTGTGCAAGGTCCGTCACCATTTACTGACAAGCTTGCATGCACTCATACAAGGAAAGTTCTCAAAGTGGTGCAAAAAATAATTATGTACGTATAAAACATTGAATTAGCTTTATTTTGCAAACAAGGATTAGCAATACCACAGGAAAAACTAATTTTCCTTTTGTTGTCAGAACTGGCCATGAACTTTTGGCTTGATAGTTCTGAAATAATGGAGCACTGGCAAGGCTCTACACCTTTTTGCGATGCATCATGATGGTTGGTTGTGCTTTACTGCTCCTTTAAAATGCAGGTCTGTTAGTCAATCACCTGATTGAAAAGAATGTACTGTCTGTGGCTGATAGCGTATCTCAACGGAGGCAGAGTAGTTGCACTGATCTACTGAGAGCTCTCTAGTTTCTGTCTGTCTCTAAACTTGTAGAAATGTGAAAAGATCATATAGATTGTATTTTGGACGGAGAGGGGATGAGTTAAGACTTCTGTCAGCTTTAACATTTCTTTACACAATTGTGCAGATTTTGTCTAAAACCTGATATCTGGGCAAGGATAGAGGCAAAATCTCTGTAGGAGCTCACAGCAATGAACTTCTGACGGTTTCTAACCCTTTACTATTCTTTTAGAATATCTGGTTTTATTGCTACCGGTGTCCCTATAAGAGGACCATTTCATCTCAATTTGTCTTCCTGCAAACACCCTTAAATAGACAGAAAGTGGGAAAACTGGCAACAATTAAAAGTTGTCTGAGCTTTTAATCCTTACAGAGTCTAAAGACAACACTTTAACCCTTTTTAAGCTTTTAAAGAGTCTATTATATTTTGGTTGTAGGTGGGCAATAACATACCAAAGTATGTGCACATTGGAAATAGTAAAAGAAAAGTGGGGGTAGAACGAGCGCTGGATGCAAATGGTGAAAGTAATGTAGCCGCTAGCATAAAAGGCAAACCTCAAACAGCCTCCTGATAAAAAGCTAAAACATAAAGTATGCAGCGCTAAAACAAAATAAGACAATAGCAATAAAATCAAATGTAAGATAAACACACAGCTGAAATGGATAAATTGGTATAGAAACCAATAATATAAATTATGCTGCAGTATCATAAATCAGATCAAGGTGCATAAAGTGACAAAGGTGCCAAAGTCAATAAATCAATGGATATATCCAAGTGACATGGGAAATCCGTGACATCTGTGGTATATAGTGTGGCTGTTGATTGCACTAACCAGAGCGCAAAGTATAGCGCGTTGGAGTAAAATGATATACTCCTGGTCACTGGATCAGAGACGTTGCCAAACGGGGAGTCATCAGTACAGCAACCTCCGGATCCTCTGTGTCGTCTCCAGGTGTACCGTCGCCAGCCACCAGGGGGATATGTACCACTCCCACGTATCACAAATCACCTTCTGTCATCAAACTCCAGGGGGATGTGATGTACTCTTGTGTATCAGAAATCACCTTAGGGGCTCGTAAATAAACCCAAAAGAGAGGTGTCCGATAGTGTAGTAACTTTTATTCAAAAAGGTATATTAAAACAAGTAGTACACTTACATAATGAAATTCCAAAAAATTCCGGGAAGTCCAAAATGGCCGCCAGTCAGACGTGTGGACCATGTGGACTAGGTCTGCATGTGAGGTACCATCTCCCATTGGAAATAGTGTCCTCTTCCTTTAAAGCAGTATTAAAGCCAAAACCAAACATTTATTATATTTCAACATCTTAAATGTGATGACTGCATTTATTTTCTTTTTTTAGGCTTGCTTCTATTTTCACCTGGTTATCCAGACAGTAAGTCTGTTGCTTTTCAAAAGAACAAGCTCTCCAGTAGAATGTATAAGTTGCAGAGATAAGACAGACTATTTAACATTGCAGGATTGCTTACAATCGGCTTTTATCTATTTATGTAAAACCTTTATACTCCCCAAAAAACTGCTTTATCTACTTATAAAGTATTAGCTGTAGTTTGGCTTCAGTTGGTTAGTGTATTTAAGTCCGTTAGTCCATCTAACAGTTCCCTACCCCTAGACTAAGAATGCTGCTTCCCAAATGTGCCCCCTGTGCTCATTCATCTAGAGTAGGGGTATTCTAATACAGGAGGTGTGTTACTAACCAGATCACCAGGTGAAAATGGGAAAAAGCTTAAAAAAAAGAAAACTAATGCAGCTACATCTAATGATTGGTAAGTTGCAATATATTACATTTTTGGTTTTGCGTTTAATAAAGCTTTCTTAAATAGGCTGAGCGTTCTTATACAACTGGTCCCAATTTTGTGAAAGTTCAGCTTGCTTAGAGTGTTTGTGATTCTCTTATCCACATAAAAGTGTGGTTTATACTTAGAATTGTATATACAGTCATGGCCGAAATTGTTGGCACCCTTGATATTTCTCCAGGAAATCATGTATTTCTCACGAAACGTATTGCATTAACACATGTTTTGCTATACACATGTTTATTCCCTTGTTTTTTTTTTATTTTTTTGTGTGTATTGGGACAAAACAAAAAAAAGGGAGGAAAGAAAGCAAATTCGACATAATGTCACACAAACCTCCAAAAATGGGCTGGACAAAAGTATTGGCACCCTTTCACAACTGCGGATAAATAAGAATGTTACAAGCATGTGATGCTCCTGTAAACTCACCTGGGGCAAGTAACAGGTGTGGGCAATATAGAAATCACACCTGAAAGCAGATAAAAAGGAGAGACGTTCACTTAACCTTTGCATTGTGTGTCTGTCTGTGCCACACTAAGCATGGACAACAGAAAGAGGAGACGAGAACTGTCTGAGGACCTGAGAACCAAAATTGTGGCAAAATATCAACAATCTCAAGGTTACAAGTCCATCTCCAGAGAACTAGATTTGCCTTTGTCCACAGTGCGCAACATTATCAAGAAGTTTGCAACCCATGGCACTGTAGCTAATCTCCTGGTCGTGGACGGATGAGGAAAATTGATGAAAGATTGCAACGCAGAATAGTCCGGATGGTGGATAAGCAGCCCCCAAACATGTTCCAAAGACATTCAAGCTGTCCTGCAGGCTCAGGGAGCATCAGTGTCAGCGCGAACTATCCGTCGACATTTAAATGAAATGAAACGCTATGGCAGGAGACCCAGGAGGACCCACTGCTGACACAGAGACATAAAAAAGCAAGACTACAGTTTGCCAAAATGTACTTGAGTAAGCCAAAAGCCTTCTGGGAAAACGTCTTGTGGACAGATGAGACCAAGATAGAGCTTTTCGGTAAAGCACATCATTCTACTGTTTACCGAAAACGGAATGAGGCCTACAAAGAACAAAACACAGTACCTACGGTAAAATATGGTGGAGGTTCAATGATGTTTTGGGGTTGTTTTGCTGCCTCTGGCACTGGGTGCCTTGACTGTGTGCAAGGCATCATGAAATCTGAGGATTACCAAAGGATTTTGGGTCGCACTGTAGGGCCCAGTGTCAGAAAGCTGGGTTTGCGTCCAAGATCCTGGGTCTTCCAGCAGGACAATGACCCCAAACATACGTCAAAAAGCACTCAGAAATGGATGGCAAAGAAGCGCTGGAGAGTTCTGAAGTGGCCAGCAATGAGCCCAGATCTAAATCCCATTGAACACCTGTGGAGAGATCTTAAAATTGCTGTTGGGAAAAGGTGTCCTTCAATAAGAGAGACCTGGAGCTGTTTGCAAAGGAAGAGTGGTCCAAAATTCCGGGTGAGAGGTGTCAGAAGCTTATTGATGGTTATAGGAAGCGACTGATTTCAGTTATGTTTTCCAAAGGGTGTGCAACCAAATATTAAGTTAAGGGTGCCAATACTTTTGTCCAGCCCATTTTTGGGGTTTTGTGTGACATTATGTCATATTTGCTTTTCTGCCTCTGTTTTATATTTGTTCCAATACATACAAAGGGAATAAACATGTGTATAGCAAAACATGTGTTAATGCAATACCTTTTTTGTGTGAAATACTTGATTTTCAGGAAAAATATATCAAGGGTGCCAACAATTTCGGCCATGACTGTATATAAATAAATCTACATGCATAATACCAACCTTGTTTAATTTTTGCAGTTTAGTTTGGCTATATTTGGACACATCTGGTGAGTGTTTATTGATCAGATTAGCATTGTCTGTTCATAGTAGTTGTGAATAATCTAACTGAAATAATTTTATCTTTAAATCATAGTTTCTAATACACTGCAAAGGTTTACTCACACGAAGACAAAAGCCTTTAGCTGTTTTGGAATAGCAACACAATAGATGCCATTTAAATTGTTTCGTTTTGCTTTTACTGCTGGTTTTATTTTACTGTGATTAATTGTAGCATTGTTTAACAAGTGGAGAAAACAATTTCTGAAAGGCTTATATTTTATCATGCCTCTATGTATTGTTTGGATCACTGTCATGTTAATTGTCTTTTGTTTGAACAGGTGTCAAGCCAAAATCCGGTTGGGCTGTGGATCCATTTGGACATTCTCCAACCATGGCTTACCTTCTAAAACGCTCAGGGCTGTCGAACATGCTTATTCAGCGGGTCCATTATTCAGTTAAGAAACATTTTTCTACAAAAAAAAACATTAGAATTTTTTTGGAGACAAAACTGGGGTAAGCAAGTCAATATAACTAGCTTATATTTGTTTATATCATTAACGTTGTTATAGGTCATAATTCCTAGGAAGTTCTGTTTGTTGTAACTCTTCTAAGATGTTCATTGATCGTGTTTTTATTTATTTATTTTTTACTTTAGATATTATAGGCCTGAGTGCTGTATAATGCCAGGCCTGAAAAGGTATATTGTAGGTGCTTTGTTATAAACAGAATTTCCTCTTCATATGCTTACTTACCTAGGTCAGTACTGATATGGGCTGCAAAACTGCCAAACATATAACACTTCCTACTGATTGGGTATTGAAAACGCACTAACATTAATTTCCTAGAATAACTGCAGTTTTAAAGTGATTTTAACCATTTCAATACCGGGCAATTTTACACCTTCCTGCCCAGGCCATTTTCAGGTTTCAGCGCTCTCACACTTTGAATGACAATTGCGCGGTCATACAACATTGTACCCAAACTAAAATTTTATCATTTTTCTTCACACAACTAGAGCTTTCTTTTGGTGGTATTTAATCACTGCCGGGGTTTTTATTTTTTTGCTAAATTATCAAAAAAAAAGACCGAAAATTTTGAAAAAAAAACACGTTTTTCTTTGTTTCTGTTATAAAAGTTTGCAAATAAATAATTGTTCTTCATAAATTTAGGCCAAGATGTATTCTACTACATGTCTTTGGTGAAAATAACCCAAATTAGGATGTATTTTTTAGTTTGTTGGAAAGTTTATATAGTTCACAAACTATGGTATAGATCTGAATATTGATCAATCCTGAAGTACTGACAGCCAATCCAATTTCTTGAGGTCCCAGAATGTCAGAACAGTACAGATATCCCCAAATGACCCCTTTTTGCAAAGTAGACAGTCCGACGTACTTCATAAGAGGCATGGCGAGTTTTTTGAAGTTGTATTTTTTTTTGTCATTTTTCGGAAAATGAAAAAAATGCAAAAAATTTTCACTTTTTTTTTTTTTTTACATACTGTCACCAGTGCAGTACAGTGTTTCATATAACTGGCATGGCGGTGATCAGGGACACAGACTGGTGACAGTATGGAAAAAAAAAATTTTTTTTTGGTATTTTTTTTTTAATTTTTTAATTTTTTATTTTTTATTACATTTTTTTTTTCTTTTTTTTAAGATTTTTTTTTTTCATATTTCACTATGTCCAAAGTAGTACAATGTTACTATAGTAACATTGTACTACTTTGGGGAAGTGATCAGTATTTTTTTTTTTTTTTTTTTTTTTTTTTTACACAATTTGCTTATAGCAAAGAATTACTTTGCTATAAGCAAGCATTTACCTGAATGACATCGATTCATTCAGGGTCTTTTTTTTTTTTTTTTTTTTTTTTTGTGCTTAGCTGTGATTTGGCCACAGCTAATCACATGACATGTGCATGTGATTAGCTGTGACCATTCACAGCTAGGCAGTAGCATACAATGGATGGCATGAATGAAGCCATCCATTGTATACAACTGTCATGTGACCTGCTGTGATTGGTCACAGCAGGTCACTTGGTACCGGCAACGAGGCCGATACTCAGATCTGTCATCGGCCGTGTCCGAGGTACACGGCCGGTGACGGATCGGTCCGCTGCGCGGCTCTGCAAGCACGAAAAGTGCGCATGTGCGGGAGGACGCCATTTGGCGTCCAATCCGGAAATGCAGTACATTTTGCCGCCCGCCTTTTGTCTATTGGCCGGGCGTGTATTCGTTAATTTCTGTGGAGTGTGTGGGGGAAAAAAAACAGTCCAAACAAATAAAGTGGAAAAATATAGTTATAGTATATTAAATTATACAGTGGCTAGTGTTCCAATTATATTAAGATATATTTCTTAGCTACAGTAGAGTTTTGCTGGAAAAACACCACAAAACCTGGTTTTGTAGCTTTTAAGAGACCTTAATGGCAGGTGTATATAACACTTAGCCATATGGGTGCCATGAAAAGATTTGCTGCTTTAAAATTTGGCTCCCAGAGTCCTCCCAATACCCATTAAAGGATATTTTTTTTCTATCTTAAAATAAAAAAGATGTTACGTTTACGTGCTCTGTGCAGTGATATTGCACAGAGTGGTCCCTTACCTTCTCCTTTGGCAGTCCGCTGCTGGCGCTTCTCCCTGCTTAGTGAGCCAGCTGCTAAGGGGGCACCTGTGCCCATGCACGCTCCTGAGCTGAGTTGTGTGCGTCCTTAGACACACAGAGCCAGTAAGCCACACCCCTGCTCCCTCATCGCAGGAGATTGACAGTCACAGGAGCCTATGACGTCCGCTGGTCTCCGTGTCTCCTGTGAGACCAGGAAGTGAGAGGAGTTGTACTTCAGTCAGGACAGCATTGGGGCAGTGATAGTAGTCAGCTAAGTGTTTAGTACAGAGGAGGGTAGCTAGAACAGATAGTGGGGAATTTGTTTGGAAATGCACTAAAGTAAAAAAACAAACCCCTTTGAGTTTAGAACCACAGACTTCAATAAGTACAGTATATGGAGTTTTCCAAACACTCTGCATGCTGCTGATTAGCAGGTTAAAGGGACCCCCTATACCTTTAGTGATTTCAACTACATTAAAATATATAGATTTTGGTCATTTCAAAGAAGAAAGACAATTCTTGCACCAGTGGAATAGATCTTAACGCTGGCCAAACATTTGCCAATTTGGAAGCTTTCAATATTATTTTGATTAAATGAAAATGATTGCATGAAAATAAACAGTTCACAGATGTTGGTCTTTTTTTAATAGTTCCAAGTATCCAAGTGATGGGAATGGTGGTTGAAATTATTTGAATGTGCTTTGCAACTGACATTGCATTGTCCACCGCAGTTTCAATAGTTTGGTCATTTCAAAAAGTGCAAAACTACTAAATCATTGGACAGCAGATAGCTGTGTGCTCACATTGAGTTCCATACTCATAAGCTGCTGAAAAGCTATAAAAAATTTCCATGTGCGACTACTGCTCCATTGTTTACAATATCATCATCCTGTATACATAATATGAAACTGTAAGTCTATGCACCCACCTGTAACCTTCATTATTGGCTTATTGAGTGAAGCTTCACTGTTCATTTTTTGCATTTTAGACATTTGTCATTTTAGGGTCCTCTATGTTTTTCCATGTTCAGTGTAGCAGTTCATTGTTAATCAATTTATTTAATTCTAGATTTGGGAAGTAGCACCGACATTTTGTGCCATATGATGCCTTTCTACAGCTATGACATTCCTCATACATGTGGGCCTGACCCAAAAATCTGCTGTCAGTTTGATTTTAAACGTCTGCCTGGTGGTAGGATAAATTGCCCATGGAGAGTGCCCCCAGAACCTATTAATGATGGCAACATAGAACACAGGTATAGTCTTCATTTAATCTTTTCCCTTTTTTTTTTTTTTAAAGAACTAGAATAGAAATACATTTGCAGTGAGCACACAGAATGCTATCCTCCCCGCACACACCCTCTCCCATAGCAACAATGCATCTGGCAACAGAAATGCCGATGGAGGTGTGGGTGTGTCAGCCTCCTGTCCCTCTGCATTTCCCTTGCAAGTGCTGGGAGCCAGAGACAGGCACTTGCTAGTAAAGAAGTCATCTCCTTGCTAGCTGTGGTGTCCCATGCCTGTGTAGCAAGTGTCTGATTTCATGTATGATTATCTGCAAACAAGTGTTGTGAATAATTAAAGCAGCATAAAGTGAAAAAAATCACTTGAATGTGTATAAAAGAGTAAATGCTGCACTATCACGAATAATTGATCTGCAAGTAATAACCATTGTCTGTAATGTGTTTTCAACAATCATCAAATAATCGGAAAATCAACCAAACCAGAGATATTGCTTTTAGTTTTACAGAGCACCTAGGAAGATGGAATAAAAGACCTACTTGATGATTCTTTAAATAAAATAAACGGGCAAATTCAGCTGTGGCATTTTTTTTATTTTCATGTCTGTTGCTCAGTGGCTGCACAAGTATTTTTTTGTTTCGTTCATCCAGTAAACCATTAGGCAAAATGTGTAATATTTGTTCAATAGAACTTTTAGGTGGCGCCTGTACGTGCACGTGTGTATATATGTATGTGTGTATATATGTAATGTGTGCATATATGTATGTGTGTATATATATATATATATATGATGTGTGTGTGTGTGTGTGTATGTATGTATGTATGTATGTGTGTGTATGTGTATGTGTATATATATATATATATATATAATATATATATTATATATATATTATACACATATTATACACACACACACTATATTGGCCAAAAGTTTTGGGACACCCCTTTTTAAATCATTTGATTCAGGTGTTCTAACCACACCTCCATGGCCAAGGTGTATAAAATCAAGCCCTTAGGCAGATGTCTCCAAACTCTCTTAACAAAGGGCCAGTTTACTGTCGGTCCTGACCTTAGGGGAGGCCAGACCGTGGCCATTAGGAACAGAAAATTTCCCAGCATCCCTGGGAGTAAACAATGCCCCATCTTTGATGTCAGTGAGAGCAATTGTTGCCCCCATTGTTGGGTGTCATTGGTAGGAATTGTGCCTTATCTTTGATGCCATTAGGAGGAATTTATGCCTCAAGGCTGGTGTCATTGGGAGGAAACAGTGCCTCATTGTTGGTGTCATTAGGAGAGATTGTGCTCTCTTTGGTGTCCTTAGGAGGAAATTTTGCCCCATCATTGGGTGTCAGTGAATGAAACCGTGCCCCAAGGGCCAGATAAAAGCAAGCAAAGGGCCGCAGACCACTGCCCTTAGGCATGCAGACTGCTTCTACAAACATTTGTGAAAGAATGGGTCGTTCTCAGGAGCGCTGTAAATTCAAGCGTTTTATACCGTGATACAAGTCCATCCGTGAAATTTCCTTGCTATAAATATTCAAAAGTCAACTGTTACTGGTATAACAAAGTGTAAGCAGCTGGGAACAACAGAAACTCAGCCACGAAGTGGTAGACCACGTAAAATGACAGAGCGGGGGTTAGCGCATGCGGAAGCGCACAGTCAATAGCTAAAGACCTCCAAACTTCGTGTGGCCTTCAGATTAGCAGAACAGAGCGTAGATAGCTTCATGGAATGGGTTTCCATGGCTGAGCAGCTGCTTCCAAGCCTTACATCACCAAATGCAATTCAAAGCATTGGATGCAGTGGGGTAAAGCACACCCTGCCACTGGACTCTAGAGCAGTGAAGATGTGCTCTCTGGAGTGATTGAATCACACTTCTCTATCTGGCAATCCAATGGATGTGTCTGGGGATTGGCGGTTGCCAGGAGAATGGTACTTGCCTGATTGCATTGTGCCAAGTGTAAAGTTTGGTGCAGGGTGGATTATGGTGTGGGGTTGTTTTTCAGGGGTTTGGTTTGACCCCTTCGTTCCAGTGAAAGGAATTCTTAAGGCATCAGCATACCAATACAGTTTTGGAGAATTTCATGCTCCCAACTTTGTGGGAACAGTTTGGGGATGGCCCCTTTCTGTTCCAACATGACTGCACACCAGTGCACAAAGCAAGGACTATAAAGACATGGATGAGCGATAGAGCACCTTTGGGATGAATTGGAGTGGAGACTGCGAGCCAGGCCTTCTCTTCCAACATCAGTACCTGACCTCACAAATGCGCTTCTGGAAGAATGGTAAAACATTCCCATAGAACATACTCCTAAACCTTGTGGACAGCCTTCCCAGAAGAGTTGAAGCTGTCATAGCTGCACAGGGTGGCCAACTCAGTATTGAACCCTATGGACTAAGACTACTGGGATGCCATTAAAGTTCATGTGTATGTAAAGGCAGGCATCCCAATACTTTTGGTATTATAGTGCATGTGTATATATATGTGTGTGTGTGTATGTATGTATGTGTGTGTGTGTATATATATATATATATATATATATATATATATATATATATATATATATATATATATATATATATATATATATATATTGGTGTTCTGTGTGTCTGACGATTCCACCCCTAAGACGTTAAACATCAGTACACTTCTGTAATGAGAGCAGTGGGAATTGGGTGCATATTTTCAGCCATGGTTATTTGCTAGTAGTCATTGTTTGTGCTTCTTATACTTTTAGGGCTTGTTCATACTTGACTTCTTCCCAAACACCCCTATAGCGTTTGTCAGACATTTTACAAGCGTTAAAAAATGCTCCCCAAACTCCCTATGCGCGAGTTTGAGGCGTTTTACAAGCGTGAAAACCGCACCACAAACACCTATAATTAACTTAATGGTATTAATGCCTCGCAAACGCCTGCCAGGCGTTTGAAGAGCATCACCATAGGCTTGAATGGGAGGCGTTGAAAGGCTTCAATTGCTCCTGACTCGATGCGTCAATTTTGACATGACGCTAACGCTTCAGTGTGAACAGCACTGTGTGCTGCCATGTGTATCATTTTCATAGGTGTTTGAGGAACCTTTAAAAATGCCCTTCAAATGCCTGTTTCAACGCTAGTGTGAACTGAGCCTTACAGAGTTGTTTTTATGCATTGTTCTTAAATTCTGCTCCATATGAAAACTCTGCCTACCCATTAAGAAATATGCAAGTTTCCTGAGTTTTGTATTAATATATTTATTTTTTAGCAAGCCAGACTTGCATTTAAGTGTAAAGGTGTTCGTTTTCTTACCAGGTAAACTATTTCCTAGATCATACCTTTTTATTTTTCTCCCTGAATCTCATTGCAGAGCATGGATGATTTTAGATCAGTATAGAAAAAAAATCAAAGCTCTTCCGTACGAATGTTCTTTTGGTCCCATTGGGTGATGATTTTCGCTACAGTGATAGTTCAGAGTGGGATCAGCAATACCAGAACTATCAAAAACTGTTTGATTACATGAACTCTCACCCTGAACTCCATGTTAAGGTAGGTTGTGTAATTTCATTTACAGGTCTTGATTTCCAGGAAAGTTCTTTTTTGTTTTTTTTTTGGTACTGTTTTTAATAGTAAACAGTGTGTGCTCATGCTTGGTTAGAAATTTGTTTACCAGGTTTTTTTTTTTTTCCACTGCTCTAGTAAATGCAGCACTTTCAGTAATCAGTTTTATGCTAAAATAGATTTTCTTTTGGTAAAAAAAAGCATGAATCCTTTCCAAAGCATAATCCCTTCATGCTCAGCGAAGTCTGAGTTTTAAGCTAGTGTCCTTGTTTATGGATTTTGCTTCCAAGCACTTCACACAGTAGTTTCCGGATTCACAAGTGCTGGGACATTGTCTTCAGGGGTTGACTGCCACATTGCTGTTCTGGCTTAGGTTGACACTCTTCTCAGTGGGTGGATGCTCCCTCTGGGGTTCACAAAACTTAACACACTGTCACAGAAAACCATGATAGTCTGATCTTCCCTTTTTTATGGTCACTGGCCTTGATTGCATGATTTTTGAAGTCCAAGTTAAGGCTAGAAAATTGATTGCTTATTTATCTTGGTGTGAGGCTTGTGAGTTTCATCTTCGACAGTATGTAGTAGGACGCATTTAACTTTTCTCTCCAGTCTGGTGTGGCGATGTTCCAGGATCTTACTACTATCAAGGGACAGATATCTACTTTGGCCCTGTTTGTTTTTTAGTTAAAGCCTTTTTGCAAGGTGTCACATGGACTGTACTGCCAATACAGCCCCCTTTGGCTCTGTCAGACTTTAATGTGGTCTGATCTGTTTTGCAGACTTCTACCTTTTGAACCTCACAGAGATTCCTTTGTCGCTCCATTATGCACAAGGTTGTCTTTCTGGTAGCCATTATTTCGGCTTGGAGAGTCTCTAATTGGCTGCACGTTCCTGCGGTGAATCTTGCCTGGTTCTTTGCCACCATGATAAGGTGGTGTTGAGGCCTCAGCCCTCTTTTTTTGTGTTTTCTTCCTGAATCAGGACGTTGTAGTGCTGTTTTTTTGTTTTTACCCTAAGCATCCTAAGGAGAAAGTTTTGTCTCTTTGGATGTTTTTTGAGCTGTTTGAATTTATTTCAAGAGGACAGCTTAATTTTGTTTGGTTCCCAGTTTGTTCTGCATTCGGGTCCTCGCTTTTTTTTTTCCCCTCAGAAATACTTCATTAGGTTAGACAAGGTAATATACAGGCAAAGAAGATGTTGAAAAGTACATTTGCCTTTTTTCATTCTCAAGGTAACATTAAAATTCTTTAATGGATGGAGGGTGGAGGCTGACGTAACCTGCTGTCTACCTCCTGGTCGCCCCCATGCGGTGAAGCAAGCTCCATCTGACTTCTGTATAAATGCAGATATAAATCAGATTGCAGTGCTTTACGAAGTACCCTCAGTATGCATCTGCAAACTCCTAGACATGTCTGGAACGAAGTTGGGGTTCATTCAAACTGGTGTTAGAGGACTTGGAGAACACAAGGGGGAAGTGAGCTTACAGACCACATGAAAACTTTGAAAGGAAGCGCTCATAAATGGATGGTCTAATACTGATTTTGGTACTTATTATTATTATTATTATTATTATTATTATTATACAGTATTTATAAAGCACCAACAGTTCGCTCAGCGCTGTACATTACAAAGGGGGACAGAACATGCGACAGTACAATAACAATACAATGCGATACACGAGGGGTTCGAGGGCCCTGCTCTTTCAAGCTTACAATCTAGGAGGGAGGGGATAGTGGTACAGGAGGAGATAGCTATGGGGGATAGAGTGGTAGGAAGAGTGGAGGAGGTCGGCAAATTAGCAGAGGGTGGGGTAGGCTTCCCTGAAGAGGTGGGTTTTCAGGGTGCGCCTAAAGGAGAGGAGAGTAGGTGATAGTCTGATGGGTTGGGGCAGGGAGTTCCAGAGGATGGGAGACACCCCTGGAGAAATCCTGGAGGCGGGCATGGGAGGAGGAGACCAGGGAACTAGAGAGGAGGTCTTGTGAGGAGCGGTGTGGGCGTGTTGGGTGGTACTTGGATATTAGGTCGGTGATGTAATTTGGGGTAGTATGGTGGACAGCTTTGTATGTCAGTGTTAGAATTTTGAATTTGATCTGTTGCGCAATCGGAAGCCAGTGGAGGAATTGGCAGAGGGGGGTGGCGGAAACGGAGCGGTTGGTAAGGTGAATGAGTCTGGCTGCCATATTCAGGATTGACTGAAGCGGGGATAGCCAGCGGAGAGGCAGGCCAGTGAGGAGGGAGTTGCAGTAGTCGAGTCGTGATATGATGAGGGAGTGGATGAGCTGTTTAGTGGTTTCTGGAGTTAGGAACGTGCGGATTTTGGCGATGTTGCGGAGGTGGAGTCTGCATGAGTTTTTAATGATTGGACTTGGGGCTGGAAGGATAGGTTGGAGTCCAGAGTGACACCAAGTACTCTGGCCTGCTGGGTGGGTCTGATAGTTGTATTGTTGGACGTGATGGAGAAGTCAGTGGGAGGGGGGATGGTGTGCGGGCTGGGGATGAAGACTAGGAGCTCGGTTTTTGGAGAGGTTCAGTTTAAGGAAGTGGAGCGACATCCAATCTGATATGTCGTACAGTAGGTTTGTGATTCGGGTGGAGACTGAGGGGGTGAGGTGGGGGGTTGAGAGATAGATTTGTGTGTCGTCGGCATATAGGTGGTTGTTGAAGCCGTGAGAGTGTATGAGTTGGCCAAGGGAGGAGGTGTAGATGGAGAAGAGAAGGGGCCCGAGGACGAAGCCTTGAGGGACCCCAATGGAGAGTGGGAGTGAGGGGGAGGTGGTAGCGTTATAGGTAACGCTGAAAGAGTGTTGTGATAGGTAGGATGAGAGCCAGGAGAGAGCAGAATCTCGGAGGCCAAGGGAGTGTAGTTTTTTGAGAAGGAGGGGATGGTCAACTGTATCGAAGACCGTGGAGAGGTCAAGGAGTAGGAGCACTGAATAGTGGCCATTACCTTTGGCAGTTAGAAGGTCGTTGGAGAGTTTGAGTAAGGCGGTTTCGGTGGAGTGTCGGGGTTGGAGCCGGACTGTAGGGGATCGAGGAGGAGGTTGTTGTTGAGGTGAGAGCTTAGGCGAGTGTAGACTAAGCGCTCGAGGAGTTTGGATGTGAATGGGAGCAGGGAGATGGGTCTGAGGTTGTTTGGGTCGTTGGGGTCCAGGGAGGGCTTTTTAAGTATGGGGGTGATGTGTGCATGCTTCAAAGGGCAGGGGAATGCACTGGAAGAGAGGGAGAGATTAAAGATGTGGGTGAGGGAGCGTAGGATGGAGGGGGAGGGAGGTCGTAGGAGTTGCGAGGGGATAGGGTCGAGGGGGCAGGTGGTGAGGCGGCATCAGAGAAGACCTTGGAGACTTCCTCGATGATAGTAGGGTCGAAGGTGTGGAGTGTTGAGGGGGCTTCAGTGTGAGGAATGTTGGGTGGGGTGGAGGTGGAGGTCAGAGCAGTGCACTTGCAGTTTTGTAGTGGGATTCTCCCTTATTCTTATATTGAGTTTTGGGTGTGTTGGCCTTGTTGCTGTGTTCACTTATAATATAAACTCTTCTTGTGTCCTGAGATGTAAAATAAAAAACTTTTTTTGGTTTACCTGTATAATCTTTTGTTCTTGAAATACATTACAGGACTCAGAGATTCCTCCACTCTTGCACTCTTGCTTGTGCTGAGGCTAGGAGGGTTCATGCCCAGGGGCGGACTGACAACTTATGGGGCCCCCGGGCAATAGGGGATCATGGGGCCCCTGTGTCCTTGCCCAAACTCAAAAGCCTATGAAAAAGGTACCAGGGGCCTCTCATGGGGACCCCTACTCACCCCAGGCCCTCGGGCAGTGCCCAAGTTTCCAAATAGTCAGTCCGCCCCTGTTCATGCCTGGACAGAGATCACTTTTTTTTTTTTTTATCCCCCTTCAGTACCAATTCACCCACACATGGCAGCATAACCCAAGTAGTCATGAGTATGCACTCCTATGTGTTCAGTGATATACGCAAAGAAAAGGATGTTACAGGTAAACTAAAAACTCGATTTTTTTTTTTTTTTTTTTTTTTTTTTTTTTTTTTTTGGGGGGGGGGGGGGCCTTCTAAAAAAAATCCAGTAGATCATTCTTTACTTTTGTTTGTAACTCATAAAAAAAAAAGTAAACCTGTGCAACGGATCAGCAAACTTAAAAGAATACTACAACTCCTTGAAAATCTCTTGCAACTAATGACTTTCTGAAAGTCATTCATTGCTTAGGATTAGAGCCAACCTAAATGCCCCACCTCCTCGCGCACTCCTCCTACACTCCTCCTACACTCCTCCTACACTCCTCCGACCTCATCTAACCTTGGCAATTGGCTAATAAGGCTCTGGGCCCTGAAATGCATTGTTGTAGGCATGGTCAATTGGGTAATAACCGTACCTTTCTGAATAACCTGGAAGCATCACACAGGCAATACTGAAGTAGGTAGGGCTGTGTATATTTGCAAGTTGTCATACCATCAGCTATCTTTGTTAGACAGTTTGGTCAGTATCTGCAAAGATAATAGGTTATAGAATAGGCCAGAATATATATATGGTTTTATTGAAAACCTGTGGACCGAGCTTTGTTTTTTAGATGAACTCTAATTTAAAAGTTTGCACTTTAAACATTCTCTTGGTGGTTGGTCTGCTTTAGCATTTCCTTTGACTTCATACTAATTCACATACTTATTTTTCAGGCACAGTTTGGTACACTGTCCGATTATTTTGAAGCTCTCCGAACAGTTACCAGCCTTGATGAATCCAAAGGCCCCTCATTTTTTCCAGTATTAAGTGGTGATTTCTTCACTTATGCAGATAGAGACGATCACTACTGGAGTGGATACTTTACCTCCCGGCCTTTCTACAAACGTATTGCAAGAGTCATGGAATCTCAGCTAAGGCAAGTTTTTTTTTTTTTTGTTTTTTTTTTGGACCCTTGTCAATCAGAGCCCAATGAATTAAGAAAAACCAAAAACCTATAAATACATTATCACAAGAGGTCGGAAACCTCACTTCAGTGGCAATTGGAGATGGGCCAGACCTGGGATCTTGGGTGCAAAACTTTAGCAAACTGAGGTTTCTGCTGCCACATTCCAGAATGAATATAAAACGGTGTAGCGCTAAAAATAACCATATAAATATGTAATTCAGGATAAATGAAAGAACCAGTAAGACCATAAAATCATAAAATGACAAGGTGCTAATGATAATAAAGTGACTTAGTGGTACTATAAAAAAGTATCACTCTCATCAAAATACTTGTGTATATATATAAAACATAAAATGTAGCAAACTGATATATAAGTGACACCAGTGATAAGGTGCTGGCAAATAAAGTGACTGAATAGTGATTCACTTTGTCACTATATAGTGACCAATGGTGTGTAAAGTGCTGAAAATGATAATCAACATATAGTCCAACATAAAGTGCATAGGAAATCGTGATGATCTTCAATATCTGGTGGTCTTATCCAGTAAGGTGGTGATGTGGCCCAAATTGTAAAGACTGCGCACTCACCAGATACGCAATCAGTATGTGCATTTAGAGATATCATTCTCAAACCTGGAGGTCCCTTTTAAGGTCTGGTGTCCCTCACTGTTCAACATCCGCTTCTAGCAATGGCTCAATCGCTCTGTGGGTGGTTAAAGCTCCCAGGGAGCCCCAGAAAGAGGCGACCATCTTTGGAAAATAAATCTGGTCCGTGAAAGTTGTTCTGTCCTTTATTACTGTTATCTTTTGGAATAAATACCTATCAATTTTAAAAACAATATCACGCTATTGGCCTCTTTCTGGGGCTCCCTGGGAGCTTTAACCACCCACAGAGCAATTTGAGCCATTGCTAGCAGCAGATGTTGAACAGTGAGGGACACCAGACCTTAAAGGGACCTCCAGGTTTCTGAGAGTGATATCTCTAAATGCGCATATTGATTGTGCATCTGGTGAGTGTGCAGTCTTTACAGTTTGGGCCACATCACCACCTTACTGGATAAGACCACCATATATTGAAGATCATCACAATCTTCTATGCACTTTATGTTGGACTATATGTTGATTATCATTTTCAGCACTTTACACACCATTGGTCACTATATAGTGACAAAGTGAATCACTATTCAGTCACTTTATTTGCCAGCACCTTATCACTGGTGTCACTTTTATATCCGTTTGCTACATTTTATATTTTATTTATATATATATATATATATATATATATATATATATATATATATATATATATATATATATATATATATATATATATACACACGTATATTTGATGAGAGTGACACTTTTTTATGGTACCACTAAGTCACTTTATTATCATTAGCACCTTGTCATTTGTCATTTTATGGTCTTATTGGTTCTTTCTTTATCCTGAATTACATATTTATATGGTTATTTTTAGCGCTACACCCTGTTTTTTATATTGATATTTTGGAGGGTTTTGGTACCTTTTGGTGTTTAGCGGCTTCATTGACTTTTATCGCTCACTTATCCCTGTTTGTGCCATATCAGACATTCCAGAATGGCACCACAAGGCAGCAAGTACAACCCCCCCCCACCCCCAAACCTTTATAAACAAAAAAAAAAAAAAAATCCCATTTACTGTTGCTTCAGTCAGGTAGTACAGGCCAGGAGGTTTTCTGTGGACTTGAAGCAGCTTGAAGGTGAGAGGTCTTGTTAAAGCTGTCTCATGTTTGCATGTATTTCAGACCCATCAAATGGTGGGAAGATGCAAAACTGCCTTTTCTCCCTCTATGTTCACAGTATTCTATAAAGCCCTTCTCTTCAAACCTATAGGTGATTGTGCCTAGTTAGGGCCTGTGTGGACTTGATTTTGTCTTCATCAGAGCTCATTCTTCATTATTTCCCTTCCCCCTCCCCCTCCCTCTTCAATGGGAATGCAAAAACTGCTAGATGCCAGGCTGTGCCTTGGTTCACTATATTTAAGTCCGTCTCAGAACAAGCATGCTGTAAATTGGTGTCAGAAAAGTCCCAAATCTACTAATCTCTATGCTTGTCTTGGGACATCTACTCAGACCGCATTAAGCCTCATGCAAACTGGACATTTTATAACTGCTACTAAGGGCAGCTGTTTGCCTATATCTCCATGCAGACATATAATTTTAGAGGAGTTTAGAGGCAGGAAAAAAAACCCATTGCAAGTGTATCAAATTATAGATTTGTTAGCAGGTGTTAGGCATTTGGGAAGAGTTTTTTAACGCTCCTCAAACGCCTATGAAAATTCTTCACATGGCAGCACACAGTGCTGTTCACACTAAAGCGTTAGCGTCGTGGCAAAATTAATGCCTTATGTCGAGTCAGGATGAGTTGAATCCTCCATTCAAGTCTATGGTGACACTCCTCAAATGCCTGGCAGGTGTTTGCGGGGCGTTTGCAGAGCTTTAATACCATTAAACATCATTATTGGCGTTTGTGGTGCGATTTTAACGCTTTGCTAACTCCTCAAAAACGCTCATAGGGCATTAGGGAAGAGTTTTTAAAGCTCCCCAAACGCCTGTCAAACGCTATAGGGACGTTTGGCAAAATTTTTAAATTAGTCAAGTATGAATGAGCCCTTAAAGGAGATTTAAGTAATGGCAGGCTCCATTAATCTCTTTTGACCTCAGGGCCAGCATAATGGCCAGATGACTACTATTTAGTAGAAAGTCAGCCTTTGCACCCCTGCACTTTTTTGTCATGACAGGTTTACTTTAAAGTTGGCACTATATGCAACCATTTTTTTTTGTAAGTGGCAAAGGCTGCTGGCAGCTGACATTTCTTCTTTATGTGATATTCTCATGCTTTGTCACATCCTTAATCAATCCCAAATTTGTAATTCATGGTGCTGCTGTTGGCCCACTCTTGTGCTAATTACATAATATAAAAGGTGTATGTAATACATTTACAATACATGAAAAAGTAGTTTGTTTCGTTTTTTTTTTTTTTTTTTTTTTATGAAAGTGTATTTGAGAGGATTGCAGTATAAAAATTGTCATTGCTAAACAAAATATAAAATACCTTTTTTGGGGCTGTTTTTCCTGCTTCTGGAACTGATTTTGAAAATGCATGCAGAATGAGAGTCACACTTTTCAGACATCAATGGCTGCATGCTTCTTCCAGGTCAAGGACTTATATGTACTTAATGAAAGGCACATACTGTATGTACTTATTGTATGTATGAAGATGTTAAATGCATGCATACACTAAATTGATCACTGTAAATCACTTGGTATCAAGGAGCATGAAAACTTTGAAATAACCAGTAGATGTGCAGCAGTGCATTTGCCATGGATAAATCCATAATGGAGTGAACCTTGCATAAAGCTCTAAATTAGTTGAAAGGTATATTGATTAGTACAACTTTTAAAGATGGATTCTGTTCCATCTGTTAGTGCTGCTGTGCAGATCTGTAACCTGTAATTATGGAATCGAGGCACTTAACACAGAAGTAACAATTGTGCAGAGTTTTATGGATGCATAGATTATCTTTAATATAAATATTTGGTGCCTATTATTATATTGCCTCCAATGTTTCCAGCCACTCAGAATTCTCTGTAACTGATGATACAATAAACTTGCTACACTAAAACGTACTTATTACTTGTTTGTTTGTTTTTTTAATGTTACATTTAATTAGGGAAGCTTGTAAGTGCAATTAAACAGTCATGGTTATGTTTTTACATTCACACTGTTTTGATTGAAATAATTCCTTACCACAAATAAGGCAAAATGATTATATTCCCTATTTGCTTTTATGAATAATGTGCTGCAAGAACAAAGCTCATAAATGGCTTCTTAGGCTGCCTAATATGTCTTGTCACAACTGTCACAGTCTTGGATAATTCTCAAGGACATTAGATTAGTATTCAAAAAGGCAGAACTCTATGGTGAGGTTTTTCTAAAGAATGTTACCTTCAATTGTTCTTTGTGTAACTTAACTGCTTACTTACATGCAGTATATGGCTAGATCTTTCCCCTTTTACAGGTAATAACACCGATATGATCATACGCTGTAACATTGACTTTAATAAAGGGATTCTACTTATTAAAGTGTAAGCGCTCTACTGCAAAGACACTTTTTTTTTTTTATAAACTAACTAGCCCACAATGGAAATGACGTGACTGCACATTGTTTTGTATTTTTCTTGGTTTTGAAAGATGATGAAACTAGAGATTGTCACTGCCTACTCCCACTCCTCATAAACAGTGACAGGATCTTACTCGGGGTTCTAGTTCTATATATTCATTTGCACTTACAGTATATCTGAATATTAGATTGTAAGCTCGAAAGAGCAGGGCCCTCGAACCCCTCATGTATTGTTTGTTGCTGTATTGTCTCATGTTCTGTCCCCCACTATAATGTACAGCGCTGAGCAAACCTTTTAGCGCTATATAAATACTGTATAAAAAATAATAATATCCTATTTTGCAGTGACAGCACTAATACGAAATGTATTTCACTGATATTTAGTATAGTTTTTAAAAATTAACTCCAATAATTTTTTAGTTCATTTTGAATTGAGTAATGAAGGGTTAAATTTCTGCCAGGTTTATATTTCTGTCTAAAATCCATTGGAGATTTTCCCTCACTTCGGTCCCTGTGACACCTGTGCAAGTAATGGAGGATCCAATTGTCTCCAGAGCAGGAAGGCTCAGAAAGCAATAAAAACACTGACAAGAGTTGTAACTATTCTCACGCTACTGAAAATCTGCTTTTGCTTTTGTCATGCCTTTTGCAGATGTTTACCTTAATTTACTGTCCTGACAGGATGTTGGGGTAAATCTCCCCATCAAGGAAACCTGAAAACTTGATGGAGGCCCTAATACCTCACTCCTGTATTCAGAACAAAGCAATGTGTTGGGTTGAACTGGGCTGTAAATGTACTTTTTGCAGTGAAATAATCAATCCTCCCATGATTTACATACATTGCAAGCATATTACCAAACATCATTTCTTACCTGCCAGTTGTATTGGAATTCAAATATAAAACTTTTGTTTTATAAAAAAAACTGCTGCAAGACAATCACATGAACAGAAAATGCATTTTTAACGGAGTGGAAATTTTATTAACTAAATTACCCAAAGGCTTGTTATAGCCATTATGTATAAAAAAATCCAACTTTACCTTTAGGCATTTTGAAGGTTCACATTTTCAGTTTGATTTAGCTAAATAGCATTTATGAAGATCCCAGGTAATACTACTTGTATATTACCAGAGAACCCGCTTTGTTAAAGCAGAGAGCCTTTAGCATGAGGGAAAGAAATGGTCCTGGAAATTCAGCCCTCTTGAACTGGAGTTATGTGATGTATACCACACCTTAGTAGAGAGCAAATCAGTTCAAAGATACTGTATGTTGATGCATTTATTTTTATGGTCCCATGATAACAGCTAGGATAATTTAGCACCTGCCTATTTACTTTAATGTGGTTGTTAAACATTTACATATACCCACTGAACTGTCTAGCCCAGTATTTCTCAACCAGTCAAGGCCACCCTTTTAAAATTCTGCACAATCTCTAGGCACCCTTTAAAATACTGCACAATCATGAGGCATCCATTACAAAATCTAAAAAACGAAACTAATAGTTTCACAGAATACAGCAACATCTGCACATGTAGGACACCCACACGTTGGAGGTGATTTATTCTTCCAAAGCAAATACACGTATGCCAACTGGTACTGACTATTATGCCATTGTTTCTCTTCTCCCTCAGTTTCTCTCACTGAGCTAATGTGACCACAGTGCTGACGTAGAGGGGCAGTGGAGGGACAAGCAAGGATGCTGTGCAGGGGCCCAGTGTCCTTATTAGCTGATGACATTTATTTTTTATGTCGTGGGTGACTAGAAAGTTGTAACGGTGCACAATGAAAACCTGTTGCTTTGTGTAAGTAAAAGGCAGGCTTGATCAACCTACTGGCATGTATACTATTTCTGGGCATTTTTTAGGCATTTTGCCAAGGCACCCTTGAAGATATCTGAAAGCACCGCTGGGTGCCTGGGCACCCTGGTTTAAAAAGGCTGGACTAGCCTCAGGTGAAACAAATCCTCCTACATAAGTTGTACCAGTTTATTTGCAATACTCTCTCTTCAGCTGTTCAAAGCATAGAATGTAGACAGAATTTCTGAGCCGGGGCAGGGAATCTGATGTTGTGCACTGCACAGCAGTGAGCTGAGTGTGATCTGAGCAAGGGAATGGGCACATTGCCCTCTGCACAATCTCACAGGGAAACATGCACAGCTGAAGCTGTCAATCATAAGCTGTGTGTTGGGGGGACAGAGCTGTCTCCCAGTATTGTCCTGTGTCAGCATAGACTGTCAGAAATGTTTCATGTAGGAATGAGGAGACAGAATTCATACTGCTTTGAATCCATACACCATATAAAATAGTTCATTATTTCAGAGATTTGCGACCACTTTACCAGACCACACTGTTTTCAGACAGGTAGTTATGGTTGCCCAAATAGTGAACAGTGTCAATTTGTTTCCTACCTCTCAAACATTTAAAAATAATTAAGCTTTGCATTTGATTTCTGTCTGAACTTTTCTCACTGCAAATATGTTTAAGGACTAAAGTGCTATAAATGAGGTCTGTGGAAAACCGCAAGAATCTCAATATTTTGACAAATGGACTTTAAGTTTAGTTGCACTTAAGAATCGAGAAAGGCATACATTGTCTGCTGCTGACCATCCTTAATAATTCTTACCCTTGTCAGCTGTCATTCATGAATGATAGTTATCGTCGTCCCACCCCTTTATTTCCCAGCCTCATGAAAATAGCAGTAAGTGAGTTTGTGAGTCTTGCTATGACTAAGCACAAGTAAAATGATGTGGTGTGATCCAGATAATAATCACCAGTGTACACAAAGATCCAGTATGTTTTATAATGTGAAATCCCTTGTAATAGAACGTTTTAACTTTTTAGGGTTGTTATTCTCCTGAATTCTTCATAATATTTTATAAATATGGTATATTTAAGTTAATTAAAGCAGCCCTCAACCATCATCTGACATTTACAAGAGTACCTTAGATAAATTTATACTAGTGCCCCTGATTAATAGGCATACAAATTTATGCTTTGTAAAAGAATTGTCATTGTACCTAACCAAGCAATACATTATATCCAGCAAATTACAAATCAAATAGATTTTTTTGGAGCTAACGTTAGCTTATATTGTTTATTTGTTTCATGGAAAGTTCCCATTTTACTTTGCAAGATATTTAAAAAGCAGGTTTATTGAATGTTGCCACATCATCATATTTATTGTATTTTCTAAAAATGTGTAAATGTAATTCTGTATCTGTTAATTTTGGGATGCATGTTTGGCATGTAGTGTTTATCTTGAATAGCTGCTGAAGCTGACCCTCCTGTCAGTTTTTAGTGTGCATTTGGAATACAGGGAGGAGGCTGTGTTTTGGGCTTGATGGCCCTCAATAATAGGCAACCTGACACAGAAGCTGTCTTCCTTGAATTACTCTAGAGGTAACTTAAAGAGCTTTAGAATGTTAACAAAGGCATCTTGATGCCACGCACTAGGTTGTTCCAAAATGGGGTATCCAGCATTCTTGAAGTCATGGTGTATGTGTGTATGCACTTTCACCATGCCTGCCATGTGGTGATGCTTAAAGGAAAATTCCACTTTCATGGGAAAAAATATTGCATTTACAATTGTGACAGAAGCCATATTGTAACTTGCCTTTCCTTTGCTATCTCTAGCGCTATCATTTTCTGTAAACATTCAATGCAATATGGCAACCTGGAGGCATTCTGTAAACATATGGTATGCAGAAACACCCTCCACAAATGTCAATTTCTGCTTGTGCGATTGGCTTATTGGTTTTCCCAGAAGTCTGTGCTAAGATTCAAGTTAGATTTTAGGCATCCCACACAACACAAATTTCAATTTTGATGAGATGCACCTAAAGGGTTAATCATTTCTAAAGGCATGCTGACACTGCCACTCTCCTCATCAGAGCTTGCAGGTGGTGTACAGAATGCCCCCCAGTAATGCATGTATAAAAAGCTCAGTAAACCATAACTACATTTCAGTTTTCTATAGTCAGATGACATACTGTAAGTGTTTATACAGTGAGGAACAGAAGTATTTGAACACCCTGCAATTTTGCAAGTTCTCCCACTTAGAAATCATGGAGGGGTCTGAAATTCACATTGTAGGTGCATTCCCACTCTGAGAGACAGATAACCAAGGAGTGGGTGCCAGGATAACCAAGGAGTGGCTCCATAAGAAGCATATCAAGGTTCTGGAGTGGCCTAGCCAGTCTCCAGACCTAAATCCAATAGAACATCTTTTGAGGGAGCTGAAACTCCGTGTTGCTCAGCGACACCCCGAAACCTGACAGATCTAGAGGAGATCTGTGTGGAGGAAGTGGGCCAAAATCCCTGTTGCAGTGTGTGCAAACCTGGTCAAGAACTACAGGAAACGTTTGACCTCTGTAATTGCAAACAAAGGCTTCTGTACCAAATATTAACACTGATTTTCTCAGGTGTTCAAATACTTAAGTTCAGCAGTGCAAGGGAAATAAATTCTTTAAAAATCATACAATGTGATTTCCTGATTTTTTTTTTTTCAAATGCTGTCTCTCAGAGTGGATGCACCTACAATGTGAATTTCAGACCCCTCCATGATTTCTAAGTGGGAGAACTTGAAAAATCGCAGGGTGTTCAAATACTTCTGTTCCTCACTGTATTTGGTCATGATTGGTTTCTAAACTTTTCAGTCATTGTAGTGTGTATCATTTTGTTTTGTTTTTTTTAATAACCCTTATTGTGTCTATTACCTTTTTTCAATGACTTACAACATCCCGTTAAGGTTCCATGCACACTGGTATTAAATGAAGCCTGTACAGGAGTTTAGCATTTTTTTTTTTTTTCTGTCAAAGCAGCTCAGTGTTATCCTATGTGTCCATGGACATTAGGACCTTTTAGAAGCCGATTTTAAACTCGGCGTTTAGAAGTGGAAAAAAAAAGCTCCTAGAAGCGTGTACAAAAATGCTCTATTTGAACATTTTATTTCTGCCAAAATAACTGACGTTTTTTAAGCCCAATGTGCATGGACCCTTATAATGCTGCAAATTGAATAGGCATACTCATTGTTCTAATAGCATATTTTGCATGAGAATATTGCCCTTTGTTGTTGTAGTGATAAGAGAAATGATCTAACAATTCAGCTCATAGGTCTTGGCAATCCTGCCCCTTCCATTTAAAAATATCACACGCCAAGAAATCCTAGCTGTTTTTGGTGATGCGCTTTGTTATGCAGGTAATTCTTATATTTTTGTATGCATTGATGTGTAAAGGTTAAGCATACATTTAATCAGGTTTACTTTGTAATAATACTTAAGAAAAAAGAAAAAAAAATGTTTAGCATTATGGATTCTTCTACGCTGCCAAATTTAGCATTGTGCACCACAGCAAACTGTAAGTTCAGATGTGGAGCTGAGGCCTTACCACTGAGATGTGTGACAATAGGAAGTAAATGTTTAGTTACTTATATTATACTTTCACTTTCAGGTCTGCAGAAATACTGTATTCTCTAGCTATTGTACAAGCTCAGAGAAATCAAAAACTGTCAGCTTTTCCATCAGCAGAACATTATAAATTACTGACGGAAGCCAGGAGAAATTTGGGACTTTTTCAGCACCATGATGCTATCACTGGAACAGCAAAAGACTGGGTGGTGGTGGATTATGGCACAAGGTAAACAGAATCAGTACACTTAAATAGGAAGCAAATAAAATGTATTATTCTTTTACAAGAAGGGTGGCAGCTATAGCTTTTCTCTTTCAGCACTTGTTTTTGTGTGCCTAATAAACAATATTACAGGAGATATTCTGGAAGATCATGCTTTGTGATTACGAATAGTATATCCTAGAACTACATTGTGTGTACAATTATTAGGCAAGTTATATTTTTGAGGATTAATTTCATTATTGAACAACTACAATGCTCTCGGTTTGTCGAGAATGTTAATAAACCTCAAACCTGAATATTTAAGAACGTAAAAGTGAGGTTTTGGCTTTCTTAGGAGAATACCCGTGTGAACAATTATTGGGCAATTGTTAGTGTGCAGAATTATCATGCAACTAAATGAAAAACTAAAAATTTCCCGTCTCACTTCTTTATTTTCATCTGTTAAAGTGGGAATAATAAACAACTCAAAATTTACAAATAAACATTTCTGACATTTAAAAAAAAAAAAAAAAGACTTTTCAATAACTGTCATACGCCTTCCATTCATGGAGTCTGTCAGTTTCTTGATCTGTTGAGGATTAGCTTTTTGTGCACCAACAACCACATACTCCCAGACACTGTTCAGAGAGGTGTACTATTTTCCTTCACAGTAAATCTCCCGATTTAGGAAGGGCCCACAAGTTCTCAATAGGGTTTAGGTCAGGTGAGGAAGGGGGCCATGTCATTATGCTTTCATCTTTGAGGCCTTTACTGGCTAGCCACGCAGTGGAGTACTTCGATGCATGCGATGGAGTATTGTCCTGCATAAATATCATGGTCGTCTTGAAAGATGCAGACTTTTTTTCCTGTACCACTGCTTGAAGGAAGTTTCTTCTAAAAAACTGGCAGTAGATTTGGGAGTTGATTTTTAGTCTATCTTCAACCTGAAAAGGTCCTTTTAGCTCATCTTTAATAAAACCAGCCCATACCAGTACCCACCACCTCCACCTCCACCCTACTGAGTCAAAGTGGAGCTCTGTGCCTGTTACTGATCCAGCCATGGGCCATCCATCTAGTCTGTCAAGAGTCACTCTCATCTCATCGGTCCATAGAACCTTTGAAAAATCTGTCTTCAGATATTTCTTGGCCCAGTCCTGACATTTCAACTTGTGTCTTGTTCAGTGGTGGCCAGGTTTCAGCCTTCTTTACATAGTTAAAAAATAAAATAGTAGGTGGCTACATTTGTTGTTTTTCTTTTTTTTAAACCAGGTAATCCTGCCAATAACACACTTCTATCCTTGGATGACTTACTGGCCAAACTATCGGAAAGCAGGATTACATTACCCTCCTTCTGTGCTCTTTTCCATAACTTAGAGAGCTGGGGACAATGTAACTGGTAAGAGTGCAGCACAGGCAGAGAAGTCACGGAAAGTTCTTAGCTCACAAAAGTCCTGGCAGGATCAACAAGTTTTTTTGCTCTATTTGAGCACAAATAACAAAACTCTTACAATATGTTTATCAGAACAAAAGAGACTAAGTAATAAATGTTCATTTATTGGGGTTTACATACTTTTTAATGTTTTTTTTTTAATCTGACTAAAGAAAACTCCCTATCTAGGGACTCTCTTATCTCAGTGGTCCTGCCACCCTACTGGGGAGGATACCCCTCTTCCATCAGAATACACTAAATCAGCACTGCTGGTTGAACCAAACTTTTCCAACAAGCTTGTTCATGAGAAGTTGATTGTTATATCGACGTCTCATGAATGGGGACGGCTATAGATAGATCGAAATTTGGCCGGTCCTTGCTAAACCTGCCATATTTTAATCCATCTTTGGGCAGCTTAAGTCCATTTGTAACTACAGTATCTGGTAAAATCCTCACTGGGAAGAGCCAGGAACTCTCAACCAAATATTGAAGTTGTTGGACAAAAAAAAAATGTAAAAGCACAATCTCATTTTTCTTTTGCAAATATATGGAAAATCAGCATTCATGGTGTCCCCATTCAGTGTGGTCCCCTCTAACCTATGAAAGCTGATATACAGGTAAGCTACTAGAGGAAAAATCTGTATATGAAATGCAGTAATCAAAATTTGGAATAGCAAGAATGCAACTATCTATTGCCAAAAGCTACTTTCAGTTGAGCATTTCAATAATAAAACCCAATGTTTATTCACTGAAACCTTTTGTATGGGTTTCTTTTAAAGAGTATGACTTTTTTGAGGGGAAAATAGGACAAGTAATTGAGAATACTAGCTTTAGTAGCTACCAGTAATAGATATAATGGCAAGCTCCCAAAGCACAAGGTTCCTTTATCTGGTCACCAGTGTGTGCTAAATATAACAAAGTCAATTAGCGCAACCAAACCAAAAAAGTATAAACTGAAAAAATTAATTTGGGACATTTTTTCATTTCATTTTATCACTCTACAGACTGCAATCTGTACACTTCAAAGTGAATTCACACCACTTTCCTAAAATCTAAAATAGTGCAGCACAACCTAAATCAATTAAATAATCCAATATATAACCACACCATGTGTAACTAAAGTAAAGTCCACATAACGTGCTCTTTGAGCTTCCACCACCATGTATAAGATGGCAGCACACCTCAACTGTATGACCCCTCCATTACCAGTCAGGTTATGTAGCATTTGTTCCCCTCTTGGGACAATTGGCTCTAGATGTAAACAACAAATCCCCCCCCCCCTATCAGATGGATCACTCAACAGCAGGAATACATATATAATAGCAGAAGACACAGTCTAGTGCTCTCTGTATGAACCACAATTTATTAAAAGGCTAAAATCACGCTTACAGTGCTTCGTACTTAAACGAGTGCTAGCTGGGATCAAACATCACGAACACCAGCAACATACCAAGAAGGCAAGATGGCCACGGGATGATGTCATGCCTCAGGCTTTCGATAACCAGCAACTGTATTTACTCAGTGATCTGCTGTGTTATTGGACACAACTGATCATGTGGTAAAAGGCTGCTGTGATTGGCTTTTTTACCTCATCATGTGATCAGCTATGTCCGTAGAACACAGCGATCACGGAGAGCGCAGGGTGCGTGTCGCTGGGGGCACACGGGAGGACGCGTTCTGGGAGGATGTCATATGACTCCCTCCCAGAACTTGACAACCATGCTGTACCTTCAGAGCTCCTGACTGGGGTTCCCGTGCGCATGTGCGGGAGTGACATCATCCCAGCCCTGGCCATCCATACAGCTGGAGTCCGCAAACCTGAAACGAAGACCGGGTGAAGTTGGATCTGCCCAGGAGCCGTGGACGGTGCAATGCAGGATGGTTCTGTATTCAGGTAAGTCTGTCACAATGTGCTAGTATGCATTGCATACTTGTACATTATAACTTAAATCTGCAGGGGCCCCTTTTTTTTTGTGTGTGGTGGTTTACTACCGCTTTAAGGCTGAATAGGTCAGCTGCCAAAATATAGTTGGGGGAGTTAGCCATTATTCTATACAACCAGATTTCATACCTCAGTTCAGTGCATGCGACCTGTATATATGAGGAAAGCACATAAACCCTATGCTTTAATTCACACAAACAAGACAATGGTTATTAATATTTTTAAATCTGTTAAATTTACTTTAATACTTCTTTATCAGGGCAAGGTATTGGGGGCTAATTTTAATGTTTGCCATTTTTGTTGCTTTTTAATTTTTTGCTTATATTTTTTGTTTAAATGTGCAGGCTGTACCACTCACTGATGAACCTGAAGAAAGTGATAGTAGATTCAGCACATCTTCTTATTCTGAAGAATAAAGACATGTACAGCTACAACCCCTCTACTCCGTTCTTCAGTATGGTGGGTTAGATATTAAAGATGGAAGAAAAATAAAAATCTGTGATTTCACTTATCAGTCTTAAAGTGGTTATAAACGCAAAACATTTTTTACCTTGATACATTCTCAGCCCTCTTTTGATCCAGTACTGTGCCTGGCTGCAGCACCCCTGTTGTCTGTTCCTGGTTTCACAGGGGACTTGGAGTGCAGCTGTAGTCATTGGCTCCTGCTGCTGTCAGTCAAATCCTGTGAAGGGGGAATGGCCAACCTGTGTGTGTCTTTGGATGTACACAGTTTGGCTTGGGAGCATGCTCGCATGTGTTCCTCCTCAGCACCCAACTCGCTAAGGGGGCACTCTCAGGGAAGGAGAGGAGAGCCCCAGCGGGGACTCCAGGATTGGAGGTAAGGGGCTGCTCTATGCAATCCCATTGCATACAACGGGCAAGTATAACTTTTTTTTTTTTAAATTAGAAAAAATAGCTTTTGCAACCAATTTTAACATACCTGGACTTGGGGTGGATCTAGACCAGTAATCGATTGTCATGCATTCTTGATAATAATTGTAATATAAGATCCAGAGTTTTGGTAACTGTTGCTAAAATCTGTAAGCATTTCAACAGTACACCAAATAAAGTAAAGAAAACTTAAAGCAGCTCTCACTATTTAAAAACCTAAAACCAATCGCTTGCCTGCTAAGAGGTTAACCCTTTGAGGACCAAGGGACGTATTTGTCCCATGTTTTTAATTGCGTGTATCATCTGATTAAGAACTTAAAATACTTTTTTTTTTTTTTTTTTTTTTGGTTTGAGTCAAAATATTAGTTTTTATCAACAAACAACAAATGGATCTAGCTTTTTGCCAATTATTTCATGAAATGGCTTAGTTACAGCAACTGAAGTGTACGAACTTTAAAAACAAAAAAATTGATTCTTTTGGCGTTCCAAAATCTTACGGTCCTCAAAGAGTTAATAGCACCGCCTGAGCTGATCTTCACTGGCTTCAAGACTGTGCTGGTTAAAAAAAAAAATCTTCAGCCTCCTGCACTTGTAGGATTCCTGGACTCCTGCCCCCTTCTGTGCATTGTGGTTCCATCCTCCAGCCATTACATCACAACAGGCAACAGGGGAAACATAGCGTCTGGAGAAAGAAACTTATTACCTGGAATGCATGAAGGTTAAAAAAAACTTGAGCCTTTAGAACCACTTTAAGCATTCCACAGTACAGGGAAGATTGTTTTTTTGTTTTTTCTTTTACATCTGTTAGAATATTTTTCTGTACATTTGTTTGCATATAGGGGTTAAAACTTTTGTTGGACCGTCATTACTGTCTATGTTAATATCTGGATACTTTCCTCTCATTTCCTGGACATAAATCTCTCCAAGTGACACAGATGAATCTAAATCTATTTAGTATGGATTGTAAGACGTGGGCCCCCTCTCAGGTTTTTATTGCTGTCCCAGTTCTACTGTTTTCCTCCTTTCCTTTCAGAATGATTGGAGCCACTAAGGCAGTAAGTGAGAGGAAACCTCCCCATTGCAGGCCATAGTAAAACTTATGGGGTGCTCTCATTGCATCTTAAAATTTTAAAGCTCAGCTCCAGCCAAACATGTTATCTGTAGATTGGGTGCAGGTTACAGCCTCTTTCAGGCTTTTAATGCTGTTTGTGTCCCTGTTAGGAAGATCTTTCCTCACTTGGAAAACAATGGGGAATGTATCCAATGGTGACACAGCCAAAAACACAAAAAAAATTTAATAATAATAAAAAAAAAAAAAGGTTGGCGTATCAGCCAATGTTTGAATGTAGCTGCCCATGCCTTTTTTTCCCAGTGACAACCGACACCCCCCTTCACCCCATTCATAGGAAAATATCCACTTAATGAACACAGAAATGAGTCCCTGGCATGCATGTTACCACCCCCCCCCCCCCCAAAAGTAAAAATAGAAAGTGGCTGGAGTTAGGCCCTGAGCTATAAAATTTGTACTAGCAGTTTTTCTTTCATCTTGGGTGATGATACCAAATAAAAGTTACCTGGTGAGCCATGGGGAGCCACATTTTAAAACTGGATTTGTAAGAAGACTTGTACTTTTCTGTTGTTGCTTTAAACCTAGGTCTATGTAATTTTTTTTTGTCTCTGCAATATGAAACAGCTGCTCTCTAGATAACAATCTTTTCAGTATAAACACTTAGCAGTGTTATTCAATATAACAAGGGACTACAAATAATCATTAATAAACAGGCTTTCAGAGTTACATTTATAGTTCATCCTGTTTTTCATATTATAGGATGAAGTGCAGAAAGCTCAGGATGCATTACCGCAAAAGACAGTTATTAAAGTTACAGGCCATCCAAGGTGAGTGCATGTAAGCTATTACTTTGGCTGAAACATAAGCTTTCTCTTAATTCCCAGTTCAAAAAAAAAAAAAAAAATTACATATCCAGCATACATAAAACAATAGGAAATCAAAATTCATTACAGAATTATAATTCTAGTCATATTCTCAGCTACAAGCCTAATTTGTTTGAATCTGGTGATGTATTGTGGAATTAAAATGTTGATATGTTTGAATCTTAAATTTAGTATGTGGTATAAAGTAGACAATAAGTAATGAAATCATGGCTTTTCCAAGTTGCCTTTCTTTTTAAAAGAACCTCTGATTTCCATCCAGGTTCTATCAGTCATTGCCCTCACTGCCACCTTTTTACTGTGGCTTTTTGTGAGGTAGAAGCTCTGATTTGTGGCTCAACAAAGGTAGCCAATCAGTGTGCCTGCCACACAGATCTGTGAGGGAGCCCATGTCAGCTGCCTAATAAGTATTTCGGAGCTCAGACTCCTTTTTTGCAGCAGTGGCAATTTGGAGATCATACAGTTTGCATTTCTTTGTTAGCCCTGGAAATTCCTTTTAAAAGTTGCTTTTCAATTTAGTACATTGATAGTATTTACACAACATGATGCCCTTTTATTGTCCCTACCTATTACCTTCAAAATACTTTCAGCTATCAACATAAAGTTTATTGTACCCCAAACTATCAGAATCGATCGTTCTTGTTTCCTTACTTTATTTTCTCATGGGATAGGTTTGATCATCAAACTGAGAGTTCCATTTAGCTAAATTTAACCACATGCCTACCGCCCTATAGCAGATACACTGTTGCAGGGTGGCTGCTCTGCGCAAAATCACGTATATATACGTGATGTTGCAGTTCCGGGTAGGGGGCTCTCGCGTGCGCGTCCCTACCCGCGCTGCCATTGGTTGCAGCGGATGTCAATCACTGCGTCCTGGCCAGTGATTCTCGGCCAGCACTCGGTGTTCACCACTAAAGATGAGAGGGGAGAGATCTGTGTGTAAATTAACACCGATCTCTCTCCTGTCAGCATGGACATGCTGCTTTCGCTCTCTCGGCGCAGCAGAGAGAGAGAAAGCAGCATGTCTCCCTAGTAAAACAGCACACAGTGTAAGCACAGCACAACCCACAGTTAACCCTTTGATTGCCCCAGATGTTAATTCCTTCCTGCCCAGTGTCATTAGTACAATGTCAGTGCTTTTTATTAGCACTGATCACTGTATTAGTGTCACTGGAGATGTCAGTGGCCATTAGTCAGTTCCCACACAGTGTCAGAATAAGTCCCACTATAAGTTGCTGATCTCGACCATAACTTTCACGTAAACCAATTCATTTACATGTATTGGGTTTTTTTTTGTTTTTAGCAAAGACATGTATTAGCAGAATACATTTTGTCCTAAATGTATGAAGAAATTTTATTTAAGTTTTTTTTTTTGAATTTTTTTATAGCAAAAAGTAAAAAATATAGTTTTTTTTCTTTTTTTTTTGTTTTTTTTTTTTTTTTTCAAATTGACGGTCTTTTTTTGTTTATAGCGCAAAAAATAAAAAACGCAGAGACGATCAAATACCACCCAAAAAAGCTTTATTTGTGGGGGAAAAAACGTACATAAATTTTATTTATGTACAGCATTGCTTGACCACGCAATTGTCAGTTACAGTAACACAGCGCCGTATTGCAAAAAATGGCCTGGTTAGGAAGGGGGGTAAAGCCATCTGGAGGGCAAGTGGGTATTATCTTTTTTTATTTATGTCTTTTGTCTGAACTATGGGTTTGTGTACACTTCGGGGGAAAAAAAATTGGATGAATAAACTTCTCTCAAGACAATATGAACCTAATTAAACATTTTTAAAATGTGATGTGGTAGTCGCATGTTGGATCATCATGCACTAAAGGGGAAGTATTCATCATGAGTCTACAGTGAGATTTGAGAGTTTGCACATAGGACCCATACTACCTGCATTTCCTTCTACAGTTGTAGTGGAACTTTGCTCCAAATAGGTTGAACCATTATAGGTGAAACTCAAAAAATTAGAGTATCGTGCAAAAGTTCATTTATTTCAGTAATGCAACTTAAAAGGTGAAACTAATATATGAGAGAGACTCATTATATGCAAAGCAAGATAGTTCAATCCGTGATTTGTCATAATTGTGATGATTATGGCTTACAGCTCATGAAAACCCCAAATCCACAATCTCAGAAAATTAGAATATTGTGAAAAGGTGCAATATTCTAGACTCAGTGTCCCACTCTAATCAGCTAATTAAGCCATAACGCCTGCAAAAGGTTCCTGAGCCTTTAAATGGTCTCTGAGTCTGGTTCAGTAGGAATCACAATCATGGGAAAGACTGCTGACCTGACAGTTGTGCAGAAAACCATCAATGACACCCTCCATAAGGAGGGAAAGCCTCAAAAGGTAATTGCAAAAGAAGTTGGATGTTCCCAAAGTGCTGTATCAAAGCACATTAATAGAAAGTTATGTGGAAGGGAAAAGTGTGGAAGAAAACAGTGCACAAGCAGCAGGGATGACCGCAGCCTGGAGAGAATTGTCAGGAAAAGGCCATTCAAAAGTGTTGGGGACTTTCACAAGGAGTGGACTGAGGCTGGAGTCAGTGCATCAAGAGCCACCACACACAGACAGTTCCTGGACATGGGCTTCAAATGTCGTATTCCTCTTGTAAAGCCACTCCTGAACAACAAACAACGTCAGAAGCGTCTTACCTGGGCTAAAGAAAAACAGACCTGGTCTGTTGCTCAGTGGTCCAAAGTCCTCTTTTCTGATGAGAGCAACTTTTGCATCTCATTTAGAAACCAAGGACCCAGAGTATGGAGGAAGAATGGAGAGGCACACACTGCAAGATGCTTGAAGTCCAGTGTGAAGTTTCCACAGTCTGTGTTGATTTGGGGAGCCATGTCATCTGCTGGTGTTGGTCCACTGTGCTTCATTAAGTCCAGGGTCAATGCAGCCATCTACCAGGAGATTTTGTAGCACTTCATGCTTCCTTCCGCAGACTAGCTTTATGGGGATGCTGACTTCATTTTCCAGCAGGACTTGGCACCTGCCCACACTGCCAAAAGCACCAAAACCTGGTTCAATGACTATGGGATTACTGTGCTTGATTGGCCAGCAAACTCTCCTGACCTGAACCCCATAGAGAATCTATGGGACATTGCCAAGAGAAAGATGAGAGACAATGCAAAAGAGCTGAAGGCCACTATTGAAGCATCCTGGTCTTCCATAACACCTCAGTAGTGCCACAGGCTGATAGCTTTCATTCCACGCCGCATTGACGCAGTAATTGCTGCAAAAGGGACCCAAACCAAGTACTGAGTACATATGCATGCTTATACTTTTCAGAGGTCCGATATTGTTCTATGTACAATCCTTGTTTTATTGATTGCATGTAATCTAATTTTCTGAAATGGTGGATTTGGGGTTTTCATGAGCTGTAAGCCATAATCTTCACAATTCTGACAAATCATGGCTTGAACGATCTTGCTTTCCATGTAATGAGTCTATCTCATATATTAGTTTCACCTTTTAAGTTGCATTACTGAAATAAATGAACTTTTGTACGATATTCTAATTTTTCGAGTTTCACCTGTATACCTTTTTCAAAAAGACCAGTGCTGAGGAAGCTGTGGCTGACTTCCGCTTCCTCCTGGGACCTTGTGATGTAATTTCCGGAGCACCGCGGTCCCCGATCGGGACAGCTGCATACTGTGATCATCGTTGCCAAACATCCTGGCTAGGGGGCGTAGGTGAGCGGATATTCTACCTAGCCAGGCAAAGGGTTCACCGCTGTTTCTGGATGAGTTTCCCGCTTTTACTGAATTATTTATGGAATAAATTTATACCCCTTATGAAGCATATTGCAGTCATTATTGAACACAAGCCACAGCTTCCTCAGCACTGGTCTTTTTGAAATTGTTTATCACTTTACTTAGTGTGGTACTAGTAGCCGAGAGCAAGTGGCTCCCATACATCTGGGCTTTTAGCGCTTGGATTTTCCGCTTTCATGTACCATTATACCTGTCTCTTCCATGCCATTGGTTATTTCTGTTGACAGGATGCATCATTGCATTAGATAAAACTCAGCTCATGGTTGTGAAATGATTGTCGAAGCCTTTTTTTCCACCAGAAAAGAAAAATAGATAAATAAGCCTGGCCTGATCTATGTTTTTGCAAAAAAATTTTAGGTATATTGTAGCATTCATGATGTGTAATCAGCTTGCCTATCAGATTTGAGATTGATCAAAAAAATGAACAATAATAGATGACCTATTATGCCAAACCTCCCATCTGGAAGAAGGGAAACTTAAAATCATCAGGGAGCCTTTAATTTGATTTTTGAATAGGTTTAGTGCTTTTTACTGCCAATGTGCCCAGCATATTATGACATTTTGTAGACCACTGTTTTGTTGGACTATGCACAATTTGTTTGCCTCCTCTTACCTCTCTTCGGTGTTCTGCTTTGATGTTCTTTTGGCTGTGCATCATTTTGGAAAGAGGACCATCTCGGCGAAATGCTGGACTAAGCTGGAAAAAGAAAAACTGTTGCATGAATTATTTGGCTATAAACCTACAGTTTGTAATCTCGATAATCATTAAATGTCTTTTCTTTTTTTTTTTTTTCTTTCCTCTTCTCTCAAAATTTGAAAATTGCTTACAATCTGTTTTATTTCATTTAAAACTGTGAAAAACAATGTCCCCTTTGGAATCAAAGTGGAATTATAGCCTCTACCTGTTTTGTCAAAAACATTCATCATAATTTATTTGTGCACTCAGTGTACATATTTGCAGTATTGGTCCATGTAAGGTATGTTTATAACTTGACAGCTTTCTTAACAATCTCTTCTGGTGGCCATATACAATCTGATTGATTGTACAATCTCATTTAGGTTTACCAAAACAATGTATTAGGAGGACACAACTAATCTAACCCATCAATCTACAGTCAGTCAGATGGGCCCTAGCTCTACATAGTTGATAGATTTAAAGGAGATTGTTCAATCAGACTGTGTAGTGAGCTTAATACAGTGCAGTGTATTTGTACTTTACACTGATACTACTAACCCATTCTGGCTTTTGCTTCTGGTTTTATTTCTTTTTTTTTTCCCAGCCTGTTACAACTTTGTTGTACCTTCTTTAAAGTAAAACCTCTAAATTTGTTCCAATTCATTATGTCTGTCTTACAGGCCCATTGCAGTCTTTAATCCTTTCGAACAAGAGCGTTTGTCTGTTGTTTTTCTGTGTACGTTAGTTCTCCAAAAATTAAGGTGATGGATGCAGCTGGAAAATCTTTGAAAGCCCAGATCAGTGCGGTATGGGATGGAGCTGCTGTGGTTTCTCAAGACACTTATCAGGTATGTGTTTTATGTTCATCCTTGCTGTCTGAAGGTCAGTACAATGTATTTAAGCAAAGGAGTGTGAAGCAGATGTTAAGATAGTACATGACGATGACCACATATAGATATACATTATTGCCTCATCAGTGCAAGGGGAGATGCTCCCTCAAATCTGTATATGGGAAGATTGTTCTATTTTGTGCCTTTTTAGGAGTGTACCCAGATCCTTTTTTTTTTTTTTTTTTTTTTTCCCTGGCCAGAACTATTTCTTGAGGGAGCCTATTCCACATTTTCACAGCCCTTACTGTGATTGTTCTTCTGAATGTGAAGGTTACATCTTTTTCATTAGACTTAAAGATTGCCCCTCATCCTTTGTAATGACCTTAAAGTGAATAACTCTACACCAAGTTCACTATATGAACCACTTATGTATTTATAAATTATGATCATACCCTCCCCCCTTAGTTGACTCTTTTCAAGAATGAGTAAATTCAGTTCTACTAATCTTTTCTCATAGTTGAGCTCCTCTATGTCTCTTATCAGTTTGGTTGCCCTTCCCTGCACTTTCTCTAGTTTCCCAATATATTTTTGTGTACTGGAGCCTAAAACTGAACTTCATATTTTAGGTAATGTTTTATTAATGGTTGTAGAGGGGCAAAATTATGTCTTGCTTACTGGAGACTACACCAGATTTTTTGCTTGCTTTAAAAACTGCAGCTTGACATTACATTAAGTCGATGTTTAGTGTCTGCTCTCTACCTCTTCTTCAAAGAAAGGGCTCCTCTGTTCTCCTCAAATGTTAACAGCAAAACCAAGGCTTAATACTTCTATGTATCACAAACCCTGGCCCACCAAGCTTTCCCAGAAGTCCTTTAACAAGTACTTCCACTCCTCGGCGTTTGCTGTTCTATCCTAGCAATTTACCTTCAAACTTTCCAACTTCAGACCAAAGGCAGATTTGCTGACTGCTTTTCACCACCCAGTTTCAAGCTCAAGGAGTGCCACTTCCTTTAGAAGAACACTTTAAAGGTTTCTGTTCACACCTTTTCAGTCCCAAAACCAAATGGGAGCATCTGCCCATACTGGACTTAAAATCACTAAGTTGATTTCTTTGTTAGAAAATTCTGAATGGGATCTACAAGATCTATCCTAGTTTCCCTCAGACTAGGGGCTTCAGAAAAAATCTACATTTCCATTTTTTTATCACACCAGCGCTTTCTGTGCTTGGCTGTGGGAGACCAGCACTTCCAGTTTGTAGATATGTTATTCTGTGGGTACACAAACATGTTTAACATTCTTCTGCCTCTTCTATGAACCCAGTGTATTCATGTCACAGGTTACCTGGACAACCTGTTGCTGAAGGACTCCTCAGCCAGGATCTTGTCTGCCAAAACCCAGAGGACCATCCATTTGCTTCTACTTTTGGCTGGGGTAATCAACAGTCCAAAGTCTGCTCTCCAGCCCTTAGATCATCTTAAGTACTTGGACCCATTCTTGGACACAGCCTAAGCCAGCATCTTCCTCCCTCAGGAGTAGATTATCTTGATGAGGTTTAGACCCTCAGGTCACAAATATCACTCCTTAACTTGCTTCTCCATGATGATTCTGGTCCTCATTGTGGCCTCCTTCAAAACTGTCCCCTTTGCCCAGTTTCATTCAAGACCAGTCCTTAAATCTCCCAATGCTTCTGTCCAGCAAAGCAAAGATCTCTCTGACTTGGTGGATCCACCATCCTGCCCTGGAACTGGGAAAGTCTTTGCTTTACAAGACTGGGGCAGAGTTTACAACTCCCAGACTGTTTAGGGTGCATGGTCTCTACAGGAGTTACAGCAACCTTTTTAATTTCTGGAACTTAGTGACTGTTTAGGGTATATGGTCTCTACAGGCATTACAGTGGGTATAGAAAAAATCACCCCCCCCCTTTAAAATAAGTGAAAGATATAACACCAACATGTCAGAATTTTTTTTTTTTTATTAAAAACTCAAATACAGAATCACTGAGCTGGAAAAAGGATCACCCCATTGTGTCAGGTTGAACCACCTTTTGCATTAATTACAGCCTTTAGTCTGTTGGGATATGTCTCTACTAACTTTGCACATCTAGACTTTGCAATATTTGCCCACTCTTCCTTGCAGAACTGCTCAGTTCAGTTAAATTTGATGGTGACCATTTGTGGACTGCAGCTTTCAAGTCGATCCACAGATTTTCAGTGGGGCTTAAGTCTGAGCTCTGACTAGGCCATACAAGGACATTCACCTTTGTCCTTCAAACACTGTGTGGTCATTTTTGCTGACCTGTAGTGTTGGGCTGAATGTTCGCGTTGAATATAAGTTCGACTCAAACACTGACCGTTTGTGTGGTCGCTGAACACACAAACGATATGGACGTTCGGCGGGGTGTTTGCCCGCTGCACTGCGCCCTGACAGTGCATTATGATTGGTCAAAGCAATGCACCTGATCACAGATCCAGTGAAGTGCTTTGGCCAATCACAGCACAGGATGATGTCACAAGGGAGCACAGTGAACCACACCACCGTGTGACATCATGACCGTATTTAAGAACTGTTATTGTGGCGCAGCTGTCAGATGGCAGGAGCCAGCATCAAGAGCGAAGCGGGAGTTTTTTTTTTTTGGGTATCGGCATCTTGATTGACTTTGGATCTACTTTGAGGGACTTTTTTTTTACTTTTATTTTTAATAAAGGACTTGTCAAAGACCATGTCCTGTCCTTTTTTACACTGTACTTTTTTTTTTTTTTTTTTTTTGTGAATGGGTAGCGATATCATGTACCAAAAACTCATTCACATGAGGGAGGGGCAGAATCTGGGTGCCCCCTTGTTAAATAAATGTCCGACAAGCCCCCCACCCGCAGACCTCCACAGCCCAGGGTTGTGGGGAAGACGCCCTTGTCCCTGTCAACATGGGGACAAGGTGCTTTGGGGGGAGGGAGCCCCCCTGCTCCACAGCTCCCCCCCATGGTTGAGGGCATGTGGCCTGGTATGGTTCAGAATGGGAGGGGGGGTGCTCACTCTTCCACCTCCCCTTTCCTGACCAGCATGCTTGGGTAAGGGTCTGGTATTTTTTTTTTTTTCTAATTTTGGCGTGGGGGTTCCCCTCAAATTCCAAACCAGACCCGAAGGGGAAGCCCGCTGACAGCTAAAACATGAATTAATGTTTCACTACTAAAATACTGCATGACTAAATAATACAGTCATGGCCGAAATTGTTGGCACCCTTGATATTTCTCCAGGAAATCATGTATTTCTCACGAAACGTATTGCATTAACACATGTTTTGCTATACACATGTTTATTCCCTTTGTGTGTATTGGGACAAAACAAAAAAAGGGATGGGTCGACATAATGTCACACAAACCTCCAAAAATGGGCTGGACGGCACCCTTTCACAACTGCGGATAAATAAGAATGTTACAAGCATGTGATGCTCCTGTAAACTCACCTGGGGCAAGTAACAGGTGTGGGCAATATAGAAATCACACCTGAAGCAGACCGAGCAGATAAAAAGGAGAGACGTTCACTTGAACCTTTGCATTGTGTGTCTGTCTGTGCCACACTAAGCATGGACAACAGAAAGAGGAGACGAGAACTGTCTGAGGACCTGAGAACCAAAATTGTGGCAAAATATCAACAATCTCAAGGTTTACAAGTCCATCTCCAGAGAACTAGATTTGCCTTTGTCCACAGTGCGCAACATTATCAAGAAGTTTGCAACCCATGGCACTGTAGCTAATCTCCCTGGTCGTGGACGGATGAGGAAAATTGATGAAAGATTGCAACGCAGAATAGTCCGGATGGTGGATAAGCAGCCCCAAACATGTTCCAAAGACATTCAAGCTGTCCTGCAGGCTCAGGGAGCATCAGTGTCAGCGCGAACTATCCGTCGACATTTAAATGAAATGAAAACGCTATGGCAGGAGACCCAGGAGGACCCCACTGCTGACACAGAGACATAAAAAAGCAAGACTACAGTTTGCCAAAATGTACTTGAGTAAGCCAAAAGCCTTCTGGGAAAACGTCTTGTGGACAGATGAGACCAAGATAGAGCTTTTCGGTAAAGCACATCATTCTACTGTTTACCGAAAACGGAATGAGGCCTACAAAGAACAAAACACAGTACCTACGGTAAAATATGGTGGAGGTTCAATGATGTTTTGGGGTTGTTTTGCTGCCTCTGGCACTGGGTGCCTTGACTGTGTGCAAGGCATCATGAAATCTGAGGATTACCAAAGGATTTTGGGTCGCACTGTAGGGCCCAGTGTCAGAAAGCTGGGTTTGCGTCCAAGATCCTGGGTCTTCCAGCAGGACAATGACCCAAACATACGTCAAAAAGCACTCAGAAATGGATGGCAAAGAAGCGCTGGAGAGTTCTGAAGTGGCCAGCAATGAGCCCAGATCTAAATTTTTGAACACCTGTGGAGAGATCTTAAAATTGCTGTTGGGAAAAGGTGTCCTTCCAATAAGAGAGACCTGGAGCTGTTTGCAAAGTGGTCCAAAATTCCGGGTGAGAGGTGTCAGAAGCTTATTGATGGTTATAGGAAGCGACTGATTTCAGTTACCAAAGGGTGTGCAACCAAATATTAAGTTAAGGGTGCCAATACTTTTGTCCAGCCCATTTTTGGGGTTTTGTGTGACATTATGTCATATTTGCTTTTCTGCCTCTGTTTTATATTTGTTCCAAACATACAAAGGGAATAAACATGTGTATAGCAAAACATGTGTTAATGCAATACCTTTTTTGTGTGAAATACTTGATTTTCAGGAAAAATATCAAGGGTGCCAACAATTTCGGCCATGATATAACTCATGCAGTATTTTAGTAACTGAGCTGCATTTTACCACATACTCAGATGCTGTAAGATACCGCTCAGTAAATTGTGTTCGAAGTTCGTGGTCGAACATTCTGTAGGTTTGAATGTTCGACCATGAACCGAACAGGGGGTTGTTCAGCCCATCACTACTGACCAGTTTCCTCTTGGCTCTTTCAGCCAGTTTGGAG